GGACTTGAGGAAGGGCTCACAGGACCCCTCCCTGCAGGAACCAAGGCACCATGCGGCCCCGGCTGCTCCTTATTGCTGCCTTCCTGGCTCTCCTGGTCTTGCCTGGTAAGCAGCCGGTGGGGACTGGGCTGGGGGCAGGGACAAGGCAGTTTGGCAGGTGGCTGGGGAATACAGAGCTCCGATGAGGAGCTAGGCAGGAGCCAAAAGTTCCCCAGAGGCTGATCCACCCCACTCAGTCCTGCTCTCCTCATAGAAGCTACCAGGGCCGAGGAGGAATCCCTTCTGGACAAAGTGAAGGGCTATGCCAAGGATGTGGTTCAGAAGACTAGGTATGCCCTCACTTCCCCACCCCCGGCCCTACCTGCCCCTGTTTGGTGAGAAACTTAGCAGGTGGCTGTGCCTCTCTGAGCCTCCTTTCTCTCTGTAAAACAGGCTCCCTCGCAGGGACAAATGACGGAGGGCCACCGCATCCCGTCTCTCCTCCCTCCGTCGTCCCTTCTTTCTCCTTCCTTGCCCTCACTTTCGTTTTCCTTTCCTGATAATCTGGTTGGAGGTTTGACCCCAACCAACCCAATTTCAGCCCAGTGTGTGTGCGCGCGCATGTGTGCGTGTGCGTGTGTGCGTGTGTGCATGTGCGTGTGTGCGTGTGTGTGTGTGTGCGTGTGTGTGTGTTTCTGACTTGTATCAAGTCCTCGGGCCCATGTGAGCAGAAGTCGGTCCTTCCTCTCCCACCTTGCCCCTGCCCACCAGTCCTCTGCTAGCCCCACCCACCTTCCCCACCTCCACTCCATCTGCATTGGCATTTCCATAGCAGAGGTGTTCACAAACACTTTTAGTCCTCAAGACCCACTGAGGACTAGATATTATTTCCCCATTTTGCAGACAAGAAAACCAAGGCCCACTTAACCAAGTGACCTGCCCCAGATCACACAGCTAATCAACCCTCTGTCCAAATGAGAGACTGCCTCCCTCTGCCCCACCCCGCCTGGAGCCACCAGGATGTACAATTGTAGGGGGCATCACTTGCCTCCACTAGAATGGCAGTCCTGACCTTACACATCTTCCAAATCAGTCACTCCAGCTTGCTTCAGATCCACCATCTGCCCACAGCTGGAGAAACTCCGGGGGACCTTGGCTGTGTTCCCATCATTACCCTCGGCATCCTTTCCTGGGGTGCAGCTATAGGGGGTCCCAGCCTGAGGTTTTGGGGCATTGCTGGGAGGGATTGAGAGGGTGGGGGCGGAGTGCCAGTGGGGGTAGGGTGGGAGCCCCATAGTTGTCACTTTCTAGAGACAACTCTCACCCGCACCCCATGTGCTCCCCTCACTTTTTTGACCCCCAGAGACTGGATGACTGAGAGCTTCAGCTCCCTGAAAGACTCCTGGAACTCGTTCAAGGGCAAGTTCAAGTGACTTCTGGGAATCTGCGTACAGTCCCACAGTCTCCACCCTGAGGCCGTCTGAGATCTCAGAACCCCAAGTCCACCCGTCTATCCATCCTACTAGCTCCTTGGGTCCAGCAGCCTGCCAGGACTGCCACCAAAGGTCACTTACAAGAACAGCATTCTCAGTGCCCTCCCACCCCATGCCCCACCCCAGACCTGGCCCACCCCGGTGTGTGCAGGCCTTCCAATAAAGCTAGATGAGAAACTGCCGTGAGTGGGGTGTCCACCTCTTAGCAGCTGGGTGGAAAGAGGTAGGAATGGGCTTACCTAGCCTGCCTGCATGGACAGTTTGGCATGGAGGAGCAAAGGGGACGCTAGGTCTGGCAGTATTTGAATACACTGTCAAGTGCTGTGTAACATGATTGAGTGTGTGCTCCTTGCCAGGCCTTGCACCTGGCATTTTACGTCATTATCATAATGACATACTGAGTTGAGACTGTGTGTGTTCATCAAAATTCTGGAGTGGACGTGCACTGCCTGGGTTGCATGCCCCTACCTCCCCTGACCGCACTTGGGGAAAGGAGGCCAAGTGGTGGTGGTTAAAGTAAGATACACCTGGGCTCTAGTCTTGGCTCTGTCATTTCATATCAGCCTCAGTTTCTTACCTGTAAAGTGGGTACAATGATACCCCATCCATTGTAGGTCTGTTGAGAAGGAATGAAGAAAATGAGAGAGTGCACAGCACCTGGCATCTCCAAGGCACCTGGTAAATGGCTGCCCTTGTCACTACAGGCTGAGCTGACTGTCCCCTTGGGGCCAGGACTGGAGTGGGGGGCCCGTGTCCTAGGAATTGAGGAGAAGCCCGAGGTCATCCAACACAGGCTGCAGCCCTTGTGTCCCCACCACCTGTCAGATGTTCATGCAGGAGAGTTCCAGAACCACAGACTACTTGAGCAGCTCCCCTCCCCGCTCTTCCAGTGATGACTGAGACTCCCAAGTGTGAAGGCACTTGCCCAGTGTCACTGAGTCAGTAAATTGCTTGACCTCAAGCCCAAGTGAGCTGCCCATATTCTGCTCAACTGACTCAGAAAAAGGCTTAGTTACTCCTATTGTTATAACGTAGCTCAAATGGTTAGGAACTAAAAAAGCCCACTCCTTTATGCAGTTAAGATACACTGGAGATGGAGGAAGGGTAGATTATCCAGCACCAAGGGCAAAAGGCCCTGAGAGGAGAGGGACAGGGAAGCCCCCTGAGTGCACTGCCCAGATCTTTGCAGATCTTAAAGCCACAAGCATGCACATGGTGGGGGTGGGGTGGGGAGAGGAGGTGTGTACCTTAGTGTGAAGAGGAGCTGGCTGGGAACACTCAATTACATACAAACTTGAGTGCCTGGCCAATTTTTTTTTTTTTTTTAATAATCACAGATGCTCAGGAGCACATAGATTTTGAAAGGGCAGCCTAGCCCATCCTGCTGTTCAGTCTTGGAAATGAGTGCACATCTCCAAGCTCCAGCTTCTGCATCCATACCACCCATTTAATCTACCCAGGATCTGGGAAAGCATACAGTGAGATGATGGATATGAAAGCATCTTGGAGATTAGAATGGGCTAGTTACTTGCGAGAGGTGGTGATTATTTTTCTTAGGTCAGAAAATAGGGGCTGGCAGGCTTGGAGCCCCAAGGATGGGGCTAGCACTGCTAGGCCTGAGGAAACAGCAGCTGTTCTGGAGCAGGGTGGGAGTGTGAGGAGTGGTAAGAACCCCTGGTGAAAAAGGATGTGTTAAAGTACATTTTGAATTAATAAGGGAGGAAGGAGCAAGCGCCAAGCCCTTCATTTGAACCTGCCCTAGGAAGGAACCACAGGAAGATTCCTGTGGGAACCTTCAAGTCCACAGGCTCACTGAGGTCCCTCCAACCTCAGCTGCCCTTGAGCAGGAGGGCTGGGGAACTATGTCCTCTGTCCGGGGAAATGCTGGGAACAGGGAGCCCACTTCTCCCAGCAACGTCAGTACTTCCTGCTTGAAGCTCTTTCAGGGCACCTGCATTGGATCATCTGTCACTTTGCCTGGTCCTCTATTTCCTTCCTGTTTGGTCCTCCTAATGAAAGAGCATCTCCTACCCCACTCTTCAGCCCCCAGACAAGCAGTCCCTGTAACATTAAGGCCCTGAGAGGCCAGTGTTTGGAGCTCAGGACTCCACTGGGACATCACCAGGTGTCCCTGGCCACCGCCCCCTGGAGGCCCCTCCAGGATCCCCCCACCCCCATTCTCCCCAAACAGAAATTTTGGCTTTTGGAAAACTTTATTGTTTAAAAATCATCATCGAATCTTCAAAAAAGACAAAACAAAAAACAAAAAACAACCCATCACGCGTGTTCCACTCCGGAAATGTTTATTCTAAGAAACCGAAGTGATGGCCAGGGGGCAGCCCGAGGCATCTCACTGGGCGTTCAGCTTCTTGGAGGCCTCGTCGATGGCGGCCAGGATGCTGACCTTAAGGCTCTCCAACACGGGCAGCAAGCCCTGGCGGAGGTCCTCCAGCGCCGGCTTGGCCTTCTCGCCCAGCGCCTTCAGGTGCTCGCTGGCCTTGGCGTGGTACTCAGCCAGGCTGCCGCCGCCCTCCTTCAGCGCCTCCAGGCGCGCGGTCAGCCGCTGGCGCAGGTCGTCGCTGTAGGGCGCCAGCTGCTGCCGCAGCGTCTCCACGTGGGCGCGCGCGCGGTCGCGGATCTCCTGGGCCAGCGGGCTCAGCTTGTCCTGCAGCTCCTGCACCTTCTGGCGCGCGCCCTCGCGAAACTCCTCGCCCAGCGGCGCCACCTTCTGGCGGTAGATCTCCACCTCCTCGTGCCACTTCTTCTGGAACTCGTCCAGGTAGGGCTGAACCTTCTGCTTCACCTCCTCCAGGTCCTTGCTCATCTCCTGCCTCAGCGACGCGGTCTCCTTTTCCAGGTTGTCCCAGAACTCCTGGGTCACCGGGCCCAGGTGTTCACGCACTTTGGTCAATGTGCTGGCCAGGCTGTCCCAGTTGTCCAGGAGCTTCAGGCTGAAAGGGGAGAGAGAGGAGGGCTCAGGCTAAACCTCCCGGGCCCCCTGGCTACCCCCAGAGCTGCAGCCCAGCGCCCGTGCTTGCAACGTGTGAGACCTGGGCAGACCTGTGCCTGAACTTGGGGTAGCTGGGGGCAGATCCTTAGCCTAGCATCTCCCATCCACGGTCTCCCCCCTCACTCCCCACTGCATCCCATTGACCAGATGCACGGAGGAGTTAGGAGATAGAGCTGGAGCTGGTTTTGGTGCCCGATCCTGTCTGTCCCCAAAGGTGGGCCTTTTAAGGACCTAGTCTCTACTCTTCCAGCCCATCCTGCTCTCTGAAGAAAGCCATCTCTGTTGCTGGCTGGAGCTGAGAAGGGAGTTAAGAATAGGCAGGGGCGGAGTGCAGTGCAGAGAATAGTGACCAGACAGCACTGGTCTGCCCCTTGCTGGGGGTCCCACTCCTCGCTTCTATGGGGCCCATCAGATAGGAGGTGGGGATTGGGCCAGTCTGGCTGCTTCTTCCCACAGGCTTCTCCATCCCCCAGCACCGACACCCCCAACCCCTGCCCCAGGCACAAGCAGGTTCTTACTTGAGCTGTTTTCCCAAAGCGGAGGCTTCAAATTGGGCCACATATTCTCTGCCACTATCCTTGATTGCTTCCACATACACGGTGGCAAAATCCTTCACCCGATCCCAGGATGACTGGGGGTCATCATGCTGCCAGAAATGCCGAGCCTGGCTCCCTGGGAGAGAAAGGGGAGACCCAGATCAGACCAGCTCTGGGCTGGGATCTGAGCAGAAGTGCTTGGCACGGGAGAGGGGGGCGAGGGAGTAATTCTGCTCCCTGGGCCCAGGAGGGCGGTCCGCAGGGATTCAGGGAGAAAGCTCCCCCCAACGGTTGGCTCCCTAGGTTGGGGGCACCTACCTGTCAGGAAGAGCACAGCCAAGGCCAGCACCACGGCTTTCATCTTGAAGGGTCGTGGGTGACCTGGAGGAGAAGAGGGGCCCGGCTGAGCAGGGCTTGAAGGAGCCCGTGCACCCCCTCCTCACTCCAGCCGGGGAGGAGGAGGTGAGACACAGGGTGGGGGAGGGCCAGGGGTCCAGAGCCCCCAGCCTGGGGTAGAGGCTTGGGCCAGCATCCCAGAGCCTCAAATGCCTAGAGCTGGGAGCAGTTCGCAGCACTTACCTCAGTGGCCAGCAGTCTGATCAGCCAGCTCTCCCCCGGCCTATTTATGTGTCCAGGCAGGGGCTGGGCTCAGAGGCTGATAAGCCCAGCCCAGGCCTTGCTGCTGCTCACTGGTCCTGGCGATGTGGAACTCAGAGTTCAAGGATCAGCTCTGTCCCTGGGGCCAGACAAATAGAGCAGGCAAACAGGAAGCTACGGGGGCTGCAGGGCCAGGGATCAAGGGTTCCAGCAGGGGTGGGAGGAGGTGGGTACAGGCTTGCAGGTCCCCAGAGTCGGGGTCAGCTGTACCGGCCGTCTCCTCCATGGGGATTGTGTGCCTGCCATTGTCCATTGTGCCACCACAGCGGGTGAGAGGAAGGAAGGAGGAAAAACACAGAGGCTGCCAAGGACGGCTGGGACTCCTCCACTCAAGAGGTGCTCTCCCCTGCTGGCTCCTCGCATTCCAGGGTGATTATCTCACCCCCACCCTACCCCCACTTCACAAAGGCAGCAGAGGTTTCTCCCATCAAGGCTGTCGCATCTCTCTCTCATCCCCACCTCGCTCCAGGCCCTTGCAGACCTCCCAGACTGGAAAGCAAAGGGAACCTTTTGCTTGGAGGCTGCTTAAGGAGAGAGAGGACAGTCCTCAGTGGCCCCCAGACTTTGAGACATCTAACATTTCCAAACACATTCTAAAGACCAACACAGAGTTGCCAACTTTTCATTTTGTCATCTTACGCATCGCCACTCCCAACCTGACCCAAACCCTACCATCAACCTTAACCAACTGTGATCTCTTCCAAACCAATTTTTTTTCAAGTCTCTATTGAATTTGTTACAATATTGCTTCTGTTTTATGTTTTGGTTTTATGGCCATGAGCATGTGGAATCTTAGCTCCCTGACCAGAGATTGGTACACCCCCTGCATTGGAAGGCGAAGTCATAACCACTTATCCCACCAGGGAAATTCCAAGATTATTTTTTATTTATTTATTTTTCTTTTTTCTTTATTTTATTTTTCTTTCCATTTATTTTTATTACTAGGAGGCTAATTACTTTACAATATTGTAGTGGTTTTTGCCATACATTGACATGAATCAGCCATGGATTTACATGTGTTCCCCATCCCGATCCCCCTTCCTGCCTCCCTCTCCATCCCATCCCTCTGGTCTTCCCAGTGCACCAGCCATGAGCAGTTGTCTCAGGCATCCAACCTGGGCTGGTGATCTGTTTCACCCTTGATAGTATACTTGTTTCAATGCTATTCTTTCCCAAGATTATTTTTTAAAGAACTTCCCTGGCAATCCAGTGGTTAGTATTAAGGGCTTTCCCTGCCAAGGGTCTGTATTCCATCTCTGGTTGGGGAACAAAGATCTCTCAAGTGGAGAGGCATGGACAAATAAAAAAGATTTTTTAACACCTAAAAAGGGCATAATCTCAGAATAAAGGACAGTCGCTTAAATGGGATACATAGATCTTTGCATCGTTCATTTTGACCTTGCATCCCACACAAGTGAGAGTGGACCCCATCCCCAAGGGATGGCTGATGTTGAGGAAGGACCTCTGGACTGCTGGCAGCAGGAGCCTGTTCTCTTATTTCATTCATTTTTGCCTTCAACTTTGCAAAATCCTGGAGGAAGCTCATGAGCCAGATATGCAATCTGCGTTTTGTTTCCTATCCGTAAAATGAAGACAAAAATGGGGGTGGTTGGAGGACAGAGCTGAAGTCAGTGATGTGTGTTTATTGGTGTTTGCAGTGACATTTTCTAATATTTCTCCTGGAAGGTGTGAGGCCCCCAATACCACGTCGCTGACAGGGCCTGAGTCATAGAACCTGTGAACATGCAAGGGGAGAGGAGTTTTGAGATCAGCCTCTCTCCACTCCCATCTCCAGCTGAGGAAACTGAAGAGGGGAGGAATTTGCCCAGTGTCCCTGTTCTCCCACGGCTTTAGAGGCAGGGCTGGACTTAGTACCCATGTCTCTGGACTGAGGACCCAGGGCAGAAATGTGCCCTGTGCCACCTACCCAGGAAACTCCCTAAGGTTCCAGAATTCAGCCAGGGGCTACCGTCTGCCAGATGCGAGAGTGGAGGGGCTCCAGGCCTCTCCCACCTTAGCAGCCTCATGCAAGACGCTCTGGAGCTGGGCTACATTCAGTTTGAATCCCAGCTCTCCCACTTGTTAGCTGAACCTCCCCCACACCGCAGTCTCTTATCTGTTAAGTGAAGATAACAATGGTCATCTCCTAGAGTTATAGTAGGGGTAGCAAGTGGTATGGAGAATAATGTCCCCTACCCCCACCAGCATGTCCATGTCCTGCTCTCTGGAACCTGTGACTGTTCCTTTAAGTTGCAAAAGAGACTTTTCAGATGTGATTATAAGTCCCTTGAGAGGGACTTCCCCTGTGGTTCAGTGGTTGAAGAATCTGCCTTTCAATGCAAAGGACACTGGTTCAATCCCTGGTTAGGGAACAAAGGTCCCAAATGCCCTGGGGCAACTAAGCCTGCACACTGCAACTACTTAGCCTGTGCATTCTGGTGCCACAACTGGAGAGTCTGTGCACGACAGCAAAAGATCCCATATGCCGCAACTAATAAATAAATATTAAGGACCTTGAGATGGGGTGACTCTCCAAGGTTATCCAGGTGGTCGCGTGTCATCACAAGGGTCCTCACATACACAAGAGGGAGGCGGGAGACACAGAGGCAGAGAAGATGGTAGATCAAAAGCAGAGGTCAGAGGGATGTGATTGTTGGGAGGGGACCATGAGCCAAAAGATGCAGGCAGGCTCTAGAAGCTGGATGAAACCAAGAAGAGTTTCCTCAGAGCCTCTAGGAGGAATCAGCTCTGCTGATGCCGTGCTCTAGACTCATGTGACCCTTTGTGGACTTTTGACTTCCAGACCCAGACTATAAGATGATAAGTTTATGTGGTGCTAAGCACTAAGTTAGAACATGCATGGCAAAACTGAAAGTGCCTGGCACTGAGTAAACAGTAACTGTTCTGCACCCCAGCACCCCAATTTCTGGCCTTGTGTCCCCTGCTCCCACTGAACACACTCACACTGGCAGACCAGAGTTTTGAATGACTTCAGTCTCTCGTGGCAGAAGTGGGGGAGGGGGAGGGATCACATTTTCTCCGTGTGGCCTTGACACGCAAATGCCCAGATGAGGGGCTGACCTACCCCCAGGGGACCCAGCAGACAGTTGGCCAGCCTAGTTCCTAGCCTTTTGTTAGAGAGTGGGAGGGAAGCCAGTTCCCTTCTGGGGGCAGCTCAGGGGTGTCTGGGGACAAGAGAGTTTCCTTTCTCAGCATACAGGGGATCACAGAAGTTTACCACTTGGGTGCTGTTTTGCTCTGCTTTACTGAAATGATTGTGGCAAACCTAGTATCTGAAAGCTGCCAATTCTTCAGTGGCCAAAGCATTTTCACGATGAACCGAAAGACTGGCAGGCCAGATACTCTCCTTGTTTGGCCCGTGAGAAGCCTGAAGCTGAGAGCTGCTAAGAGTTGCCTTATGACCTTCAGCCATCAGTGTTCACTGCTGGCCGGAAGGGAGTCGGGGGCCTGGCTTCCGGCTCTTTGATGGTTGCCTGTTGGTCAGCAGCAGCTGGGCCTCCGACTCCCAAAGCCCTTGTTTGATAATATCTTACCAAGCTGGAAGCTTTCTTTTTAAGAAAGCCATATTGGAGTATAGCCAATTAATGTTGTGATAGTTTCAGATGAACAGCAAAGGGACTTAGCCAGATATATACGTGTATTGATTCTCCCCTAAAGGCCTCTTCTATCCAGCCTGCCACATAACGTTGAGAGTTCCCTGTGCCGCACAGTAGATCCTTGTTGGTTATCCATTTTAAATATAGCAGCACGTACATGTTGGCCTTCCCTTGTGGCTCAGCCGGTAAAGAATCCGCCTGCAATGCGGGAGACACGGGTTCAATCCCTGGGTTGGGAAGATCCCCTGGAGGAGGGAAAGGCTACCCACTCCAGTATTCTGGCCTAGAGAAGTCCATGGACAGTCCATGGGGTCGCAAAGAGTCAGACATGACTGAGCGACTTTCACTTCACTTCACATGTTGATCCCAAACTATCTTTTCTCCCAGTTCTTCCCCGCTCCCCGGCAACCATAAGTTCGTTCTCTGTGTTTGTTTCTGCGGAAGCTTCCTTTTTAAATATGTTGCTGTGTTGTTAGTCACTCAGTCCTGTCCGACTCTTTGCAACTCCATGGACTGTAGCCCCCAGGCTCCTCTGTCCATGGGATTTCCCAGGCAAGAATACTGGAGTGGGTAGCCATTTCCTTTCCCAAGGGATTTTCCCAACCCAGGGATCAAACCCAGGTCTCCTGTACCACAGGCAGTTTCTTTACCATCTGAGCTTGTTCACTACTGTGTCTGCTCCATCTCATTGTCAGGTATTTGGCTTAAGCCAGCCCGCACCCCTCCGTTACTAATATTTTGGAATAAGGGAGACTTTCTGAACAGAGGCCGATGGGAAAACCACAGCCACAGCAAATGCAGCACGTCTCAGGACCAGACTTGGGGTCCATCCAGTCACTGTCAGAGGCGCCAAGTTCCTGGGCTGGACTAGCTGTTAAGAGGGTGCAGGGCCCACTACTAAGGGTGACGGCCCTTAGTCCTACCACCCTGTTCCCCTGATGTGGGAAGTCTCCCCAGTTACCTTACTGAAGTGGGTCCCCTGGCGTTCGTGGGAGTGTGGCTGGCTGGCTGCAGGAGTGGATTTTGCTCAGAATGACTGGCCACTCATTTCACAATTGGTGTCTCAATGTCATACTGGTCAGTCTGCACTGGGAGGACTGTTCCTCTGTTCCCTGCTGGGCCTGGCACATAGCAGACACTCAGCAAATATTTGCTCAATGAACTATTCTGCGCCCCAGAATCCTATGACCCCAAAGGAAGAGGCACCAGGGGGGCAGAGGGTCACCTGGAAGAGCGGGCTTGGAGAGGAGACACAGGAGCCTTGCACATTCAGCCTGGATGGGGGACCCTGCTCAGATTTTACTCTGAGTGTTTATGCTGCAGATCGGGATGGGAGGCTTGAGGTTGGGAGGTCTGGGTCAATTGGGATGTGAGGAGATCCCCATCACCACCACCCCTGTTCACTGTTTGATCATCTTGCTGCAGCTCCCAGTGATAGACAGAGCCCCAGTTTAGACCCTAGCACAGGGCATGGGAACCAGCAAAGACTCTCTCCTGCCCTCCTGCTTAGGAGACTAAGGTCATGGCGGAGCAGGAACGGAGGTTTAGCTCTTGGTAGGTACGCCAGCCTTCCAAATCCTTGATCTGTGCAGGTGGAGTGGGGTGGGTGTGGTGGGGAAGGAGGCTACCTCAAAGCCAGAAAGATGAGCAAGGACCTGTCGGCAAGGCTTCCAGCTTCACAGCTCAGAGCCCTGGGTCCACATAGAGCAGGCAAGGCCGAGGCCCCTGACCTCATCTCCAGGGCATTCCAGCTGCCTGCAGCAGGGCGTGGCACCATCCACAGAAGTTTCTTCCAGATTATTTGAAGGCATCTGGTTCATCTCTGTTTGGTTTCACAGACACTCTCTGCCTTCCAAGGGAGTGTGTACAGACTTGAAGATTCCCCACCCCCTACCCCCAGCCCTTTTTAAAAAAACATTTTATTTTGTACTGGGGTAGAGCCCATTGACAGACAATGTTGTGATAGTTTCCAGTGAACAGGGAAGGGACCCGGTCACACATTAGAAGACCCTTCTTGAGAAGGCTCTTTTCTGCTCTCAGCAGTCCTACAGTGACCTTCTAGTCACATGGACTCAAAAGATTCTCTAAGTTCCCTCCTTTCCCTTGTCTTTCTATAAGCTCAGTATTTCCAGATGCAGTGACCTTTCTTCATAGAAGATTTCTACCAGCTATTTGTGAGCCATGGCTGGGACCCTGCAAGAAATTCTACCCTGTCCTCTGGAGTCCAGGTGTGGAAAAAGGGGGAACTACAGCAAAAGTCCCCTTCTGTCTTAACACTTAGGCGGTGTCCATATCACTGGGTTGACTGAGGTCACCCCGTAGAAGCCCCAGCCTCTGCCAGCTCTTTGAAGTCCTCCTTCTACTCCTTCAAAAGTATCCTCTCAAGGAATCTGTTTTCCATCAGACTCAGCAAACTGTAGTGTTCGCTTCTGAGGGGGCAGAGTCCAAGCCAGGTGTCTGAGGACCCAGTGTGAGGTCCAGCTCAGGCTTCTGGAGAATGCTCCTCTCTCAAGGCAGGGTGAGATAAAGCAGAGGTCAGGGCCCCACCCTACACGCCCTCAGCCTCCCGCATTCCAGCTTCCAGCCTGAAAGTTTCTCCCAACTAGACTCCAAACTCAAGGCGAGTAACACAGCAGCATAAGATCATAGTCAGGTGTTTTATTTTCACAATCCCCTACTGTCCAACCAGGTTACCAAGCTATAACTGCCCACCAAAAATCGACTAAAGGTCTTACTGCAGCTTGGGTCTGGAGATTTTTTTTTAATCCTTTTTTAGTTCAACATAAATGAGAAAGAAAAAATACTCTGACATTTTCAAAGAACAGAAATAGGAAAGTATATTCATATACGTTCAACATATACTGCGCATATTGGTTACTACAATACAAAGCAATGATTTTTTTAAAAGTGTAGTTTGCAAGATGGCACGGTTAATAGGCTCACTGGCTTTCGTCTGGGTGCTCGCTGGGGGGCGGCAGTCTGCTCGTCCATCAGTATCGTGAACAAAACAGGCTGAGTGTGTGGTAGGGGCCGGCAGGGGCAACGAGCCCAGAGAAGTCAACAGTGGCTGTTCGGGCTCTCTCAGTTGCTTCCAGAAGGTGAGTAGCTGGTGGCTCCCACCAAGTAGAGGGGATGTGGCGACCATGGAAACACAGAGAGGCTCTTGCACTGCAGAAACCCACTCGAGGGATACTGGGTCCAGGAGCTGAGCTGCCAACATCAGAAAGAAGGACAAGCGACATGGGGGATCCTGGCAGCAAAACCAGGATGGCCATGCTGGGCACCCGCTTTCTTCTGTGCAAATTCAGGATGAAAGATGAGGAGGGGTCAGGGGACCTGTTACTCTGCTTCCCCAGAAAAGTGGATCAAGGGTATTTAACGTCTCTTCCTTGTTTTGAAGATCAGAAGGCGATAACCCAGATCTTCTGTCAGCCCCCCAGCCAGCAGAGAAGACTTTGGTTTCTAACGGTGAAGGAAAATAAAGAAAATGACGCAAACAATAGCTATTGCATATGCACTGCTTCAGCAGGGAAGGGGTGGGTGGGGAAGGAGACCACTACATCTGTCACTGGCACAAGTGAGAACTGCTCACAATTACAAGGTCTAAATAAAATACTTTGAACAAAAGGTGCAAGTCACAATTCAAATAGAACAGAATCTGGTTAAACATTTCTCTTTTAAACAAAAATTTCTTTTGTTTGTATTTATTATTAATAATAATAACAATAATAATAACAATAATATCAACATTTACCAAAAACAATCCCTACATGATCAAGAATTAGAATAGGGGCTGAGGATGCACAGAGAGGAGGAGGAGGTTAGGAGGGTGGCAGGACCCAAGACAACCTCCTGTTCTTCTTGCCTGTGACAAAGAGGCTGAAAGGGAAAAGCGTTATATATATAGATATATATATATATGTATGTATGTATGTATATATTATGTATGTATACAGACACATACATATATATATGGAGAAACAATCCTTGTTATATCACAATATAAAATGAGAAGGAAAGGTGACACAGAAACACAGTGTACCACTGTTGGGTGTTCAGTCCATGGGCAGAACCAGCAGGATGATAAAGGCAACCAACTTTCCGAGTTACAAGAGGGGAGCTGAATTACAAACCAAAGACACATTCTAATTGGCAACCCATCAACGCCAGGCCACTTCTAGCCTCCATGCTGACATTCTCATGTGATTTTGGCTTGGCCAGACATGTTTTCCAGTGGATCCCAACAGAAAAGACCTCTCCAGGTTCCAGGCTTGGGGTGTCTCTTTTTGCTCTCCAAGGGCCAACGGCTACTGCCCCTTCCCTCTTGTCTCTTTCTCCAGCCACTACATTCCAGAGTCTGGAGTACATCCCTCTAGCTTTTGCTTCTGCATAAGAGCAGTTCAGGGACTGGAGGGCACTCTGCAGACAGAGGCAGGGGAGGGGAATGGCTCTAGGCCCTGGCCACCATACGCTAACTGCTTTGCTCTTCTGTCTTAAAAAAAAGGGAAAGAAAAGAAAAAAGAAAGAAAATCACCTCAAAAAAAAAAAAAAAAAACCCTAAAAACAAAAACAACCAAAAATAATCCAAACCAAAACCAAACAAAACCACCAACTCAAATACACCAAATACACTTCCACAAAAGGTGGGGAGCATGGATTTCCTGTTTATTTCCTTGGTGACTTGGTCATACAGGTGAACATGGCAAAACCCCCCTCAGAACCCAGACGAACAGCACACGGATGGACCAAGGGGGAGGAAAGGAGCCGACATTCTGGGAGGAGGGAAACAATGGCAACCTGGCGCAATGCTGCTAGATACTGTTGGTTTAAAATCAACCTTTTCATTCCCGCGCTGTACATAAACCTGCAACAGAGCAGACACAGAGAATGAGTTTGCAAAGACAAAGACTCATTGAAAACTTAAAAAAAAATGGTTCACTTCACCTCAGCTATTTTAAGAGGGTTTGCTGTACTGAGGCTCTAATACAGATTTGCCAGATGGCTTAACTTTCATGGAGTCTTTTCTGTTAATGAATTTTCAAAGACAGAACTGATACTACCTCTTGTGTATGTTTAGGCATTACTCCTGCAAAACTGGCCAGTTGACCTGTTTTCTACTGCTGGCCTCTGATCACAAATTTCTGGTATATTTTTCCACTTGCAGCACAGTCTCAGAAAAGATGTGGTTAGACATATATTCTTGCTGAATTTCATCCTTTAGGACTGAGTTCAAGAACCACCTCCTTTTCCATTACCATGGCCAGAAGTCTGGTCTGTTCTCTGAAGCTCACTTATTCTTTGAAGGCTATGGCACCTATAACATGTCTTATCCCCAACAGTTCAACCAAGAGACCATGGCCAATATTTCTTCTATATGCCCCCATCTACCCCTCAAACAATTAGCACGGTGCTTAATGAAGGAGCAGAAAGATGCAAAAACCTTGGCTGGAGGAGTGGTGTTGTCAAGTTCACTGGCTCAAAGTTCATGTGGAAGGAATCTCCTGATGGGATCAGGAGCTGACACGGAGCCAAAGGGCTGGTCTGGCTCCGGCCAGGGTGATACTCACTTTCCATCTTTTGCTACACGCCTGCCTGTTCCATGCTGAAGGAGACCTCGGGGTGCTTGTAGCTGAGCAGTATGTCTGTGATACACGTGGATGGGTAGCAAGAGGAGTTTAAATGCTGGCTGCCATCCGTCAGGTCCGGGTGCTCCTGACCTCCAAGACTCTCCCTGCATTCTACAAGACCAGAGAAAACTTGGGAGGTTTGCAGGGAGCTTGGGTGGGGGGTGGGCAAGAGGTAGAGAGAGGAAGAGAGAAGTCTGAAACTTCTGCAGCCCTGAATCCTAGTTCAGAGCAGGCCCTCAGTTTGGTTAGTGACCATGACTGGGGACCAGGCTTCTTCCTGTTGTCCCCACTGTCCATTTCCCCCTCTTCTTTACTGTCTCCCATTGTCAGGCACTGTCAACTCCTGTGGTGTGGGATAAGACAGCCTCAAGCTGGCAGACCCTGACACCTGGGCATACTCTATGCTCAGGGCATGGGCCCAAGCACTTTAAACTCCCAAGCACGGGCCTCCCAGGTGGTGCTAGTGGTAAAGAACCTGCTTGCCAGTGTAGGAGACCTAAGAGACATGAGTTTGATCCCTGGGTCAGTAAGATCCCCTGGAGAAGGAAATGGCAATCCACTCCAGTATTCTTGCCTGGAGAATCTCATGGACAAAGGAGCCTGGTGGGCTACAGTCCACAGGGTCGCAAAGAGTCAGATATGACTGAATGACTAAGCACGCATGCACAGAAGCTAGCAACTGGTCCCAGCACAATCGAGGACATGGGCTCTATTGTTTCTGTCACTACAGAGGAGGATCTTGGGGGTCTGAAAGGTTAAGCACCTTAACCTGTGGAGCCAGTACAGAGCAGTCAGGATTAACTGCAGATCCGTCCACTCCGGGTCTGTGCTTTTATCAGCTAAGATCCCCTCCCTCTGCTGGTTCTAACGGGAGGCAGGCATTAGGACAGGGCGCCTTCTCCTCAGAACCAGAACAAGAGTGACTGAAGGAGCACCTGAACGTGCATCACAGACGAACAGTGACGGCCCTGTGCTCAAGCAGGAGGCGGCCTCCTCCGCGCTCGCACACTCAGGGCAAGACAACTGGGAAAGGTGGCGTCCAGAAGCCCGTGGGGACACTGTTCCCACAGGCTGTTTATACAAGAGGGGAGTAGTCACTGGTGAAGACAGAAGGGGTGCCTTCTAGAAACTTCTTTGCGGTGCCCCATGCATAATGCCCCTTACCCTCATTTTCCCCGTCCTGGAACTGCTGGCTCCCCATGAGCGAGGACTGACTGAGAACTGCATCCGACATCCGGGCAGAACTAAGTGCTTTCCCTGCCACGAGACTCATGCCAGGCAAGTTGTCTAGCTGCACCTGCAGGAAACGATTATTAAAAGAAGTGAGGAGATCAGAGAACGCGCCTTAAGAGACTGCTGTGCCCTTCAAAGGAGCCCAGGCAAAGGGCGGCCTCAAGCACCGTCCCAAGCACTGCTACCCAGGCCCCCTTCCTCTGCAGGGCCATCCAAAGGGGGATGCTGTGGGGGGAGCTAAGGCTAGGCGGGGGGGTGGGGGCGGAAAGGAACGGGCACAGTGAGCCTCAGCTGCTGCCGCTGCCATCTGCATGGCGTTCCAGTACCAGGTTTCTGACCTGTCTCGTCACCATGAGGCTCTTAGGGCAGCAGAGTCCAACAGCACTCTGTTCGAGGACGGAGATGTTCTTCTGCCCCGTCCAAATCGAAAGCCGCTGGCCACAAGTGGCTACTGAGCCCTGGAATGTGACTAGCGTGACTAAAGAACTTGGTTTTATGTTTTATTTTGTTTTAATTACATTTAAAATTGAAAAGTCACATGTGGCTGGTTGTGGCTGTATCAGTGCCGCCGAGGAGTCTGCCCTAAGGCAACAAAGCTCTGCCAAGTGGACTAGCTCCCTTCAAGTCTGAATAAATTCAAGGCAGCTGCCAGAATAATAACTGAGAGTCTGAAGGCTCATCTGCTGGGGCCTGAGTTTCAGCTGTTTGAGGAGAAGTTCAATAACTAAGACTAGAGGAAACGGATGCTCTTGATCCTCAGCTTCAAATGTGGAGCTTGGCGTCAGCTCCTGGAATTTCAGGCTTGTTACAGTGATTCAGAGACATGCTCCCTGAGTGCTCAGGGGCACTGGACTCTGATTGAGGAGAACAAGAGACACCACCCCACATTCCTAAGTTCTGCTTTCAAAGATCCCGCTTCCAAGAAGCAGGAGGGGCCGACGTACGTAAGCATCATCGCTGTTCTGGATGGTGTGATGTCTCTGGAGGGTGCGGGTCCTCTGGTGTTCGCTGACTGAGGGGTGTGTGGGGTACCCGAGTCCATTGTGATCTGGCAGCTCCATCGCTTGTCCGGGAGAATTTCTATCCATGCAGTTCCCTAGGACGGACTCTGAGGAGACAGAGCGAAATAGGGGCAGTCAGCAGACCTAGCGTTTCTCTCAGTCCACTCTCACCAAAGCAGCATCTTGCAAGGCACAGTGGGCCCTGGTGAGGCCCACCATTGGCAGACCACTCTCTGCCAACCCTCAGCTGGCTGGTGACACTCGGAGGAGCCTGGACCAGCCTGCCAACTCTCAGTCCTTTCTGAGCCTCTCTCTGCAGGCATCATTCCCTTATGAGAAAAAAATCCCATGCGTTAGTGGTTGGCTGAACCTTTTCTTGTCTCTTCATTTCTCTGCTGATTTGACAGTGCTGTGTTCCCAAACCTAGATGCACAGGAGACTCACTCTTGGACTTTCAGGACCTCCAGCCTGGGAGGATGACTCCCGCCCTGTGGACGCCTCTCTCTCTGCCCTTGGCTTCCCCTCTGTACCCCGCCCAGCCCTCTCCTCTCCTCCTCCGACTCCAGCCCTTTCAAGGGTCCTCCTCTCTTTACCGCTCTATCTTTGACCTTCTCACTCTCCCCACACTTACTTTGGCAATATCATCTATTTTCATGGCTTCAACTACACTGCTTCTATATAAAGAATTACTAAATGCTCTTTTAAGCTCCAGATCCAAAATACTGTTTACTAGGTATCTTTCCCTGGATGGCTAAACAACATCAAACACTTCACAGGTTCAACTCTGAACTCACCAGCTTCCCCCACAACCAACACCTCCTTTCCTAATCTTCTGGGTATGAGCTCACAGAGTCCCTGCTGATTCCTTACTCCTGGTTCCACATTACCTGAAGTCTGAAGAATCTGTCTCTCCAGTGTTGGTCACTTTAATCTCTTTCTTTCCAGTCTCATTGCTTCCGTGAAAGTTTGGTTACCTCCTGCTTGGGTCACTATAATAGGCTCCTAACCATTCCTCTTCCACGGCCCTACAAAGATGAATCTTTCTATAGTGGAGCCCAAACCCCTCATTTTCACTGGCTCAGCCTCTCTTCCAATGAGCATCCCACAAAACTCACCCCTACATTCTAAGCTCTGGTCAGAGGACCACTCACGATTCAATGCATTTTCTTTCACCTTTCTCTCTCCCTGGAAATGCTTAATCTTCTACTTCCATTCCTGCCAGTTCTAATCAATGTATCCTTCTAGGTCCATCTCAAATGTTATCATTTTTATGAAACTTTCCCTTTCAAATAGAAATAAATCATTCTTTCCTTTCACTGTCAGAAGGCTTTGTTGGACTGATTATGCTAACATTATTCCTGGCACCATCTTCAATTGTGTACTTGTGTTAATGTTTCATATTAAACTGTAAATTCTTTGAGGACAAGAATTATTACATTCATGTTTGTGAGCCTTTAGTATTCCAGAACACTGTCTGATACCAGTGTTTAACAATATTCCAACTGATACCGATAAACACTCTCTTAATGTAGGTCAGTCACCTGTCAGAGTCAGGGTGGTCAAGAAGAGTACCAAGGCCACACCGAGGTTGACAGGATCCTCCTGTTGGCACATCTGGCTCCAATCCTTAGGAGTCTAGCACTGGAACATGTGTTTTCGTTGTTTGGTTGGTTTTTCTGGGTTAAAGTTCCCTGGCAACTACCAGGCTTATCTCACAATGAACGGTACCTTGGTGAGACCAAGTTTTTAAACAAATTTTAATGGGAAACACAGTCCTAATGCTAACTGCACCATCCCAGTATCTGTGTGAAAAATGAAAGTAAAACGGGCTGCTTGAGTGATGTGTAAAGGGTTTCAGGTCTCTATATTCAAATGGTCTTCGTAACCATCACGGTGAGGCAGGGGCTTAGGGGCTGAGGCGGGACAGGAAGGGAGGGGAGTGAAATGACATGCACCTTGCTGGTAATGCAAAGCACTCTGGAGGAAAGTGAGAGGAATGGGAGCTTCCAAACGACGGAAGAGGAAGGCGAGTGAGACTAACCCGCTCTGTGGGATTAGGTCACCCACCCGCCAACCAGCCCGATCCCTGTGAGTGGGCACAGTGCATGTGCTGGCTGCAGGGCTAAACGAAGGCCACCGGTCAGAAGTGGTGCCAGGCTGCCTCTGTTGGGTGATATGCGTGCTAAATCTCCCTCCCCACCATCTCTCTCTGTTAAATGCGCTTCTATGCCTGCGAACGGGGTTTCTCCAAATCTGAATACCCACCCTCCTTTTGGCCCTGCCCGTGGGAAGGCCCCACGGACTCTGTCCTCCTCGGCTGCTCTCTTCACAGCCTTCAGGTCTGGTGCCAACACACCTGGAAGGCCACCGAAACAGGTGGAGCTCTTCTTGACAAACCTCATGACAAGCCTTCCTGACTCCCCCGCCTGGAGCTCAGAAGCACTAGCTCTGGGGTCAGGAAGCCCCAGGCCTGGATCCTGGCTTCACCAGAATTCCTGAGCAAGTTACCTGACTTTACTGGGTCTTGGTCTCTTCATCTGCAAAACAGGACTTACTCCACAGGTCTGTGAAGTGCTTACTTGAGTTTGGTCCTCTGTAAGAGCTCAGTAAAGACTGGTATTATTTATACTCATTTCAGAGATATTATTTCTGACAGGATGGGGCACAATGAACCAGATGATAAAAACAAACAATAAGATGATTTTATCACAGAATCTTAGTTTGAGAATTATGGGGCTAGTTTATCACAGGTAAGTGAACAAGTGAGTCACTGAAAATTTAATTTCCAGAAAAGCAGCCTCTGGTTTAGGAGAGATAAATATGAGTTAAAAACTAGATGAAAGGGAGCTCCCTGGTGGTTTGGTGGTTAAGACTTGGCACTCTCACTGCTGGGGCCCGGGTTTAATCCCAGGTCACGGAACTAAGACCCTGTGAGCCGCATGGCCCTGGGTGCTCACTCAGTCCTGTGCGACGCTTTGCGACCCCATGGGCTACAGCCACGAGGCTCCTCTGTCCGTGGGATTCTGCAGGCAAGAAAACTGGAATGGTTTGCCATTTCCACCTCTAGTGGATCTTCCTGACCCAGGAATTGAAGCCAGGTTTCCTGCAATGGTGGGTGGATTCTTTACCACTGAGCCACCTGGGAAGCCACACAGCACGGCCAAAAATAAACTTAGACAAAACAGAAGCATATTAATAGGAGTTGGGTAGCAAACCAGGGGTCTTTCTGTTCAAATTTCAATATAACTCATAGGTCAAAGATCAGGAAGGGCTGGCACCCTTGGCTTGGCAGATATGCTTGGAAGGGGAAGAATGCAAGGCAAGGGGGCATAAAGAGAAGAACATAAGACTAAAAATTCAAAAATAAAAAAAAGATTAAGAATTCAGGGGATTTGAAGTCAGGTTCCAGCTCCATCACAGTGTATGAACTTGGACAAGTCATTTAACCTCTCCTAACCTCAGTTTCCCTATCTGAAAAATGAGGGTTGTTTGGGGGCTCAAGAGACAACAGGTGTCAAAGGGCCTTTCATAAATTGGAAAGGACTACACAAGCAAAGTAATTATTTTTAGTAAGAATGTTGAGTTTACAGGGCCTATGGATGAGACCCACTGACCAGTTTGGCAGGGGAGGCACTGCGTGTAAAGAGACTAACCCGTTGAGCAAGGAACGTGAAATTGAGGCTTAAATCTTTGACATTCCTTATGCCAATTCAGCAGCTGAAGGAACTGTCAAGCTCACCAAAGGATGCAGAAGAGGATGCCAAGAGCAGGATTCTCAGGTATTTACCTAAGCAAAGCTGAGAAAGTGAAGAGAAGGGAAGACCATCTGATCAGGCAAGGGGAAAAAATACACAGATGGACACGATGCATACCGCCCACCTACCTAGGAAACCGTGGGGCAGCTTGCACAACTGTCTGTTGAATCTGTCAATGTTGACTCGTCCTTACTCATTTACTGGGTCTTAAGAGAAAATGAGAGAAGCGCATGTGTGCATATCCCTCTCAAAGGTTCTGGGGGGTAAACCCTCACAGTCTGTCACCGTTTGACCCCCTCTATGGGGCCTGAAGTCCTCCAGGGCTGCTGAAGCTGAGCAGGCTCAGGGAAAATGTGGCCTTCTCTGTGAGTTCGAGCTGGTAATCTCACTGCGTAAACTGGTTATGCTATCATATTTATTTGCAAAGTAAAAAAAAAAAGAAAAAAAAATCAAGTGTATGTAATAACTAGCACAGAGGGGGAGATAAACCTTATTTCTACTCCTAGGGGACAGAAAGGGAGATTACAGGCAGCATGGGGCATGTCTAGCCCTGACCTTCTACATATTTCAAACAGACCTCTGGCAGGCTGCCGGCTCAGCGCTCTGGCAGTGCCCGGCCCCACACTGATTGGTGGCAAGTGGCCATAAAATAGGTAACTGCGGCCATTGATAGGCCGGCATTTAATTCTCCTTGACTAACATCGGCAATCCCTGATAATCTACCCTTAAGAAGCTTTAGAAGGATGACACAATCTCTGCTTGTTATGATTACACCTTTCACAGCATTCATCGCGCAGTGCTTCATGTTAGGGCTGTTTATGAGCTTGTCTGCCCATCCCCCCAGCATAAGCTCCCTGAGGGCAGGTTCTCTGTCTTCTCATCCCTGCCTTCCCCACCGGACCTAAAATACAGTCTTGTGTGACCTAATCATTCAATAAATGTCGTTGAATTTGCTCTGTTACAGAAGTAACAGATGGAATGTTTGGGGGCTAGTCTGTAATTACACAGAGATGGAGGTATCAACGACAGGAAGCAAGAGGCATTCCTGCCACCCACAAAGATAAACAAGGACGAGCTGTCCCCACGTGCCTGCAGGGTGGTAGGGGGAGAGCATCACAACCCGTTCTTGGCAAAAGGAACGGCAAATTATCTGATGATTCTTTGTTGATGTCAAACTGCAAGCTCTCAAGTTCTTAAGAGCAGAAGCATCTCAGGTGAGGGCTTCCCAGGTGGCACAGTGGTAAAGAACCCGCCTGCCAACGCAGGAGACGTGGGTTTGATCCCTGAGTTGGGATGATCCCCTGGAGGAGAAAATGGCAACCCACTCCAGTATTTCTGCCTGGGAAATCCAATGGACAGAGGAGCCTGGCGGGCTACAGTTCTTGGGGTCGCAAAGAGTTGGGTACAACCGAGTGACTAAACAACAACAACGTGTCAGGTTAAAGCAGCAAGAGACTGTGGAGTCCGGTTTCTCCTGTAAAAGGGGTCATAAAACATACGCCCAGGATGGTTGTGAAAAATAAACGAGTAACTGACTGGAGGGCACCAAGCCCAAACAGACGTACTACAAACACCCTCCTGGAGCGGGCACCGAGCCAACATCCCTCACTGCACAGATGAAGACGGAGGGAGGGGTTATGTGCCAGGGGCTCACAGAGGAAGCTCCTGTGTTCAAGCTAAGGACAGTGGGGACGCCTCAGCATAAGAAGTAGTTTTAAACATGCAGACATACATTCCCGGAGGGTTTCTAAGTCTGGAGCAGCTTTGGGCTTCCCTAGGCCATTTTTTTCTCTATTGCATTATCTAACTGTACTGGATCCTAAACCCATGTGGTAATCAACTGGGGGCTTTATTCATTAAAGATAATTGTATATATGGTTCCAAAAGTCTCAAAACAGAAGTGGAAAGAGGTTAGAAAGAGACAAGTAATAGTATTCAAGAAAAGGCATAAGCTAAGTTAAAGAGTAAATTGAGAGCAAATTACGTAGACACAGGAAGGATTATTTCCAGCACACACTGGCCAGGGGGACAGGAGACAAGAGCATGGCCTCTAGGAAAGCTCTTAGCAAAGGTCAGGAAAGGGAGATCTGAGAAAAAGGAGGACTCTGGGGGGAAGCAAACCTGATCATGGTAGCTCAGCCAGTGAAGAATCCACCTGCAATGAAGGAGACCCTGGTTCGATCCCTGGGTCAGGAAGATCCCCTGGAGGAGGGAATGGCTACCACTCCAGTATTCTTGCCTGGAGAATTCCATGGACAGAGGAGCCTGGTGGGCTACAGTCCATGGGGTCGCAAAGAGTCAGACATGACAGAGTGACTAAGGCTTTCAAACCTGATCACGAGGCAACAAGAACAGGGTATTTTTGAGCTGAAACCTTTAGGGGTGTATTTATGGCTGGATTCTTCCAGAAACCCAAAGAGATGCATGCAGAGAAGAGTGGTGGCGATGGCAGTGGGTATAAGAAGGCAGCGAGAAGGGAGAGGGAGAAGAGATCGCAGGCACTCGGCTTGGGGAATGGTAGGAGGGATCTGTCAAGAGAATCCTGACTCACATGTTGGTCTGAAGTAAACTGATTTAAAGCTGCTGGATCCATATCAGACTCTGGGTTTCAGGAACCCTCTGCCCTGAGCTTCTAATTCTTTCATGTAGACTGCACTGCAAGGAAGGCAGCTTGTCTCCCCTTAAAACATCCCTGAGACACTCTCACCCATGGTCTTTCCTCATGCTTCTCCCCTAAATCCAAGCAGCAAAATCCTCTTCATCCACCAAGTCCGTGCATGCTCAGTCGCTCAGACATGTTTGACTCTGAGACCCCATGGACTGAAGCTCGCCAGGCTCCTCTGTCCATGGAATTCTCCAGGCAAGAATACTAGAGAAGGTTGCAAGCTCTCCTCTAGGGGATCTTCCTGACCCAGGGATTGAACCTGCATCTCTTTAGTCTTCTGCATTGGCAGGTGAATTCTTTACCACTGGGCCACCTGCAAAGTCACGAAGACCTCACTCAAATGTCACTCACTGTGGGAAACCTGGCCCTTCTCTGAAAGAGAACCAGTCTCCCCTGGCTCTGGTGCTCCCACAGCACCTGAACTTGCCACGTTCTGCTTTTCTTTAGGCACTAAATAGACCCACAAGCGTGCCAAAATGGGTGGGGTTCCTCTGACAATCAGAGGACACAAGCAAATTCAAGCCTTCTGGTCTCTCTGTATATAGTTGTCACAGAGGAGGGAAAAGTGAAAGGAATTGAGAGAGAATCATTTTTGAAGAAAAATATTTCAAAAGGTTATTTTCACAGACAGCAATCCAGGGTGATGGGTTGGAGAGTGTGCACTGTTTGCTCACTTGCTCCTTCCTGGAGTCTTGCACATGCGGTGCGTGCTCAGGACATGTCTGCTGGAGTGGAGTGAGTAGCTCTCGGGTTCAGAGCCACTTCCTAGCTGTGGACCTTGGGGGTGAATTACTTAATCTGTGCCTCAATTGTCTCACTGGTAAATGGGGATGGGAAGAGCTGTGAGGATTAGGTGAATTTATGTGTGAACAGCATCTGGTGTATGGCATATGAAATGCACTAGGAAAATGTCAGCTTGCCTCCTTTTCCGATGAAAGCTGTCATTCACACAGGAAGCTTTCCCAGCATCCCTGATGCCGTCAAGCTGCCTCTGCTAGAACACTCCCAGCCACAGAAAGCTCCCAGTCTGCCTCTTCTGGAAAATTCTTATGAAGGCTTCCCTGAGGGTTGAAAGCTGCTGCAACTTCCATCCTGGTCTTGGCTCTGCCTCAAATTTGAATCCAGCGAAATCTAATCCTTTTCCATCTGTCAAGTATGACGGCTCTCCTGAGTTTTCCCCCCAAGCCTAAACATCCCCAAGTCTGTCAGCCAATCCACCTATGACTTGGTTCCAAAACCTCCCACCAGCCTACGTCAACTCAAAAATATAGCAACCGCAGCTGGACACAATACATCTGACTGGTGTAGACCTCAAACTGGACAATACCCATCTGCTCAAAAGCCCAGGATTTAACGGGAGTTTTACGGAACTGCATCCCTATTGGTGCTTCATGAGCACAACCTGAAGACACAACATCCTCTTCACATAAACTGACTCGGGGTCAGGTCTTCCATCCTGCTCTGTGCCTGGGGACCTGACGGCCCCAGGAGCTGAGTCTGGTGTGCTGACTTTAAAGTGCAGGGCAGGACAGGCTTCAAGAAGCGAGGGTGGGAAAAGTGCCCAGTTTCAGGGTTGAGTATTTTATGGAGAAACTTGCTTTCAAGATCTGTGATGATGGGATGGATGTCAGTCCAGATTTTGGGTAGGGTGAATGCTATGACACTAATGAGATGACATTTTCTGAGCATAACTCACTGATAGTAACTCCAATCTCCTTCCAAATGAAAATGAATGCCCTCATTAATTATACAGTGATACTAAATGAAACAGCATGGCATCCCTTGTGATGCTGCAATATTCTGTACTTAGCTTATCAACGAAGTGATCAGAATAACAATACCTCAAATTATTTAAATCATACAGATTATCAAGTGTGCCTCTCCCCCCGTGTCACACACACAAACATTATGTATAAACATAAACACACGTGCATGTTTTAATCTTCACAAATACTCTGCAAAGGACTGTGATTCCTCCTGCCCTTTTTCACGGATGGGGAAATAAGAACCTGAGGGTTAAGTGACAAGGTCACTGCACTCATAACAGAGGCAAGTCCAGGACCAAGGGACCCTGACACTTACTCTAACACTCTTTACACTAAACCCTGTTTCCCCAGCACTGGCTGACTTTTTTCTATCACAGAGGTTAAAGCTAGCTATTTTGATGACAGCTGAGAAATTCTGGATTCTAAGGAACCAAGGTCTGAATATGGCAAAACAGGTAATACATCTTGCTGACCATCATCTGTGTGTTCATTTTCTATCACTCTCTTTTAATTCTGAAAACAGATTCCCTTCTCCATCAGATACCTATTTCCTATGTGCTTCTCCCCTAAAAGGTTCTGCAGGTCTTCTCAGGAATTCTTTCTCTCCTAGCAACCCAGAGTACCAGGGTTGAAACAAGGTGAACCCTGCTGAGTTCACTGAACGAGGGCAGGCTGGCCCAGAGATCGACCCTGCAGGGCGCTTACCTCGGCTGGACACCTTATTTCTAGTGAAGGCGGCAGCCGGCTGTCGGTATGGATGGATCCCCAACTCCTGTGCATGATTCACGGTTCCCAGGACAGATTCAGGGTCCCCGGGGCCGCCTGTACTCAAGAGCAGGGGGCTGTCATGGCAACCTTTGGTCAATGTGTTCCCGCTCTTCCTGTCCAGGAAGCCATCCTTGGCCCCCTCGCACGAGCACTCCTCCTCCATGCTCTCCGAGTGCACGAGCGCTGGCTGGGGAGTGTAGCCGTGGGTCGGGGTCGGGGAAGAGACCTGTGAGATACATTCTTGCGCCCTGATCTGCAGAAGGTGCTGGGGGCTGGTGTGGTGGTGGTGGTAAGAGTCAGCGTTCTGATACGGCAAAGCCTGGCGCTCCGTCATGCTCTGTCCCCCGAGGCCGGGAGCCAGACTCCCGGCGTCCCCCTGGTTCATGTGCCGGAACAGCTCTTGGTACTCCTGCTGCTGCTGCTGCTGCCGCTGCCGCTGCTGCCTTTTGAGGAGCTGTGCAAACTCCACCGGGGGCAGCCGCATGTCCGAGTGGCCGGTGAGCGAGTGCCGGGGGGAGAGTAGTCCCTGGAGGATGTGGGGCACCTGCTGGTGTCGCGTGTAGTCTGGCGGCGTGGGGGACAGCAGGGCCTGCTGCAGTGCCGATGTGGTATAGTGCGGTGGCTGCTGATGTGCACTGGGAGGGAAGGTGGGGAACTGGTCAAGCGGAGGGACTTTCAGGGCTTGGGTGGGAGGTAACCCCGCTCCTGGTGAAGGGCTGTAGCTGCTGGGGGAACCCCGGGACTGGTCCGAAAACAGGTGGGGGTGTAAATGCGCCTGGTCGTAGTTAGCAGGGGAGAACCGATTCACGTTCAAGCTGCAGATACAAAAGGGAGTGAGTACCAGGCATCCGTGTGACAAATGTGTTAAACTCCCCGGGGAACAGCTACCACTCCCCTTCAGTAGTGAGCCTCTGCTGTTCAGAGAACCGCAGGACCACAGGGAGGATGGCGGTGTAGGCATTACCCCCACCATCCCCTCGGGCTTGAGGGTAGCAACATCACTTGAATTAAGATGTGCCCATCTCTTAGAATATGAGTGGTGGAAAGAAACAATCTTAGAACAGACAAGGGGGGTAACTGAAACTTTTACCTACTCCTCTAACTGGCCCTTTTCTTCTTTGCAGGCCTGTAGTAAGGTGGTGGTGGTGTTCGGTCGCTAAGTCGTGTCTGACTTTTTTGTGACCCCACGGACTATAGGACACCAGGCTCCTCTGTCCATGGGATTCCCCAGGCAAAAGTACTGGAGTGGGTTGCCATTTCCTCCTCCAGGGGATCTTCCTGACTCAAGATCAAACCCACATCTCTTGCATCTCCTGCATTGGCAAGCAGGTTATCACTGCACCACCTGGGAAGCCTATATACTAAGGTAGCTGTGTCACTATCCTCCTCTGTCTCACTAACATTTTGATCCTGAGTCAATATATAGGTTTCAAGTCCATCCCACCCACTGCCTCACTTTTAGTCAGGCTGAAATAAGCACAGCCCAGTCAGAGCCCTTCTGTCCTCCTCTCCTCCTCCTAACGGCCTTCCTCCCACCTGGGTGCCCCGGAGAGCTGGCCAGGAGACTCCGGGCAGCCTCACCTGTGGGCCTCCGCACTGTCGGCGCTCAGCTGCTTGGACAAGGGCCGGTGCCCATAGCTGAGGGCGGCCATCAGGCTGGTCCGGAGCTGCATCTGAACCTGACTGGTGTTGGGGCTGATGGAGACGCCCCGGCCTGCAGAGGCGGCAGTGGCCCCAGGCATGCTGCTGAGCATGTCGACAGGCTCCTGGACTTGGATGGTCACCTGCTGTGGCTGGGGAGGCTGCTGTATGCCCAAGCAGGTCAGTGCCACGTTGGGAGGAGGGGAACAGTTCTCAGGCTGCTGCTGGAAGATGGCACTGCGGGAGGGGAAGCCTTGAAACTGGGAGGAAGATGCAGCACCTGGGGAGAAAGGAGCCCCAGAGTGACCACATGCCCGGGTTACCTGTGGCCGGAAGTCATGGGAGCCACTGAGGACACTCAACTCGCATACCACCCAGAGCAGTGCTTCTCCAACTCCAGGGTGTGGAAGGTTCCTCTGGGGGTCTCGTGAAGACACACACTCTTGGGTCCAACCCTCAGAACGCTGACTCAGTAGGTAAGAACAGGGTTCCAAGAATTTGCAATTCCAAGAAATGCCCATTGATTATTTTCTGAGTAGCTCTCATCCAGGGCAATGCTTCTCAAACTCTAATGCATGTACGAAGGGACTGGGGATCTTGCTAAAACATAGATTCTGATTTAGCAGGTCCGCGATAGGATCTGAGATTTGATTTTTCCTGCTGATACTGCTGGTCAGGGACCCCACTCTGAGTAAGAAGGGCTTTGAGACCAACTCAGGCTCTTCAGGGGATCTAGACTGGGTGGCATTACTTAAGAGATTCTCAGTTTTCAGAATGCTAACCCCTCAGAGTGCTGGCCTCTGAAGGACCGTATAAATTAGGGCCCGCTCATCTTTGCCTCCATCTGAACACCCACAAGAGAGGAGCCACGTGCCCAGTGGATCACCAAACTCGGGCGTGACAAGAGGGAAGGTTCTGGTAGTAGCCCATTCATTTGGTACAGTTGGAGGGGATTTTATGAAAACATCAATACCAGTCAACCTTTATCGAGAACTGTATTGTTCCAGAGGCTATTCTAACTATTATACCTAACATATATTTCATACATACCTATGTATTTCATAGTATTATTATCCTCGTCCTACATTTGAGAAAGTGGAGATGCCCGGAAATTAAGTAGTCTACCTGAGGTCTCACAGCTAAGGAGCTGGTAGCAGCAGGAGTCAAGCCAAGGCAGCCTGGCACTAGAACCACCCCTTACGCAGCATGTTGCTCCGTCACCTAACCAGTAGCTTGAGGCACTCAAGACTAAGCCACGCTTCTCCTGCGGCTCACGGTCCAGAGAAAACCTCTCCACTCACCGTGAGGCTGCATCATGGTGCTGCTCATGGGGGGAGGGCTGTTACTGGGCTGTCTGAAGAGATGGTTGTTGGGGTGGTTGGGAGGTGGGCTGGAAGGCTGAATCCTTAACCTTAAGAAACAACAGAACCAGATGAGTAAATACACTTCCTGAGGTGACAGTATAACCTTGAAGTTAGTTTCAGCCATTTGATACCCACAGGCAGAAACTCCATTTTTAGTTTCGATAAGCTTCCAGGCTAGACAAACATACACAGGCCACCCACCACAGTCTACTGAAAGCTTGTCTACATCTTAGTTTCCCAGACGTCCCAAGGAGGCAGGGGTCACTGTGGGCCTGCATCTGGCCTCCTGTATTAGGTGTCAGATTACATGGTTCATGGGGATAAGAAAATGAAGTGGCACAGGAAGTCAGGATTTTAGGAAGCTGCTGAAATTAAAATTGGTCTTCCTGCTTTTCTGACTGAGATGGTTCTTCCAAGACGAATGCTATAGTCAGTCATGTCTCCCATGTGAGTGAGGCCAACAGCTTAGGCAAAGAACAACATGCTTCCTTACCTCTGGAGCTGGTGGGTGAGGAGGGCAGGCTGATTTTCACACGCAGCTTGAAGAGGTGGAGAAGGCTGAGGAGGACAGATAGAGTCCTAAAACACACGCGGGAAAGGAGAAAAAAATACTCGTGAGCTTGAAGACTAACCAGAGCCATTCTTGGGAAGGGAAGAGACTATCTGTGACTGAGATTTATGCTCCCGTCGTTCATCAAAAGGCTTGATTACCTTGACTCAAACATGGCAACCACACAAATAACTCAACTCCACTCTGCCCTGCGTGATCTCCTCCAGCATTCACAGGCCCATCAGCCTGAGAGCAAGCTCCAGACAAGTTGGAGAGAGTGAAGAGGGAAGGCCTACTTGAATCTGCTGCTGGAGAATTTGGTGGTGCTGCTCCTGCTGGTATAACATATGCTGCTGCTGGGTCTTCTCCAGGGTTCTTTCATCAATCTGCCCCCCGTACATCTTCTGCAGCTGCTCACACTCCTGAAGGGAAAGCAGTTCATACAGAGGGGATACAGCCAGGCCTACCCCATGCAGTGCTGTCAGCAGACGCAGAGCTGCCCCGGGTCTCACGGGCAGAAGGAGCCCACAGAGAAGAACTGTGTCCTTGATGAGCAACTAACCCCTTTAGGTGGGCATTTGTGTACTAAATATATTCACGCTCTGTGCTGGCTGCAAGACGGGAAAAACACCAAGATGGCCTGGGTACGAGCGAAGGTTCCAGTGTGAAATCGGTGTACAAAGCAATGCCACTCCAAGCTTGGTTGTCAGGAAGGCAGAAAGAAAACTGGCCCTTTACAGAAGCCTGGAGGTACACTTCCTTCCTCTGGGAGCACCATTCCATACCAGCTGGAGAGTATGCCAGGTGGTAAGAATGCAGAGCAGGCTCCAACAAGACCCAGTGCCCATAAGTCATGAGGGGAATGCCAGGGTTGCTTCAAAAGACATTTCTGAGTGCTTCCCACTGAAACCCAAGCCCAGAAATTCCTCTCTAATGAACCATTGAGACAGGAGGAAATTTAGTCCCTTCCTGGGGAAAGCTGGACATAAGCAGAAGGAAGGAAAGCATGTAAGGAGCTATCTGCTTTGGCACCTCTAAAACTGCAGTGCTGCTGATGTGAGGGGGCAGAAAGCTTAGCACCCGTGTCCTTCTGCAACACCGGTCTCTGTTACCCATGCTGGTCTCTGCTACCCATGCTTCTCCAGAGATGCCTGCCATCTCTAACATTACCTGCTGCAACTGTTTGATGCTGCTGTTGTTGCCCATTTTTTCCAGGTGAGCTTTGAAGGCCTGGATGCTTGCAGCCCCATCTGAGAACCGGCGCACAGGGGAGAAACGCTCCGTAGGGAGGTGCAGGGTGTTGGAGTCCTTGTAGGTGGAGCTGAATATATGGGAAGAGAAGGTTAGGGGCTAGGACTCAGGGGTTTTGACCAAATCACCTAGGGACGCTGTTCCAGATGAACACAAAGCTGCCGGCTACACGCGCAGCCTGGCGTATTATGCCACTTCCATGCCATCTCCAGAGGCCAGTCGTTTCCCTAGCCTGCCTTCCCTCTAGAGGCCTCCAAGTGACCATCTTCTGTTTCCACTTACCTTGAGTTGGCTTAATGTCCAAGCCTGGGAAGGTCCTGGGATCAGATACATCCAGTTCTTACAAATACACTGGGTCAGAGAGAGAGGAGCTTCACAGTAGCCCTCAAGCCCAGCTGTATAGGAACTCCTCCTTTTACAGTCATGTCTCTATCTAGTTCCTTTAGAAACCTAGAACAAACCTACTCATGTGACCTAAAGTTTTCCCTGAATAGTAACCTCTGTATGACCGACCAGAGGGAAACTAGAGTCAACTTTGGGGTCAAAGCTCTGGCCTGGAATTCATAGGTTTTTTTTATGCTAGAAAATGCAAGGTGGAGCTTAAAGTGGGGAAACGGGACCACTGATCCCCAGATGGAGATAGCCCATCCTTAAGAAATGTGGGCCTGAAGATCCTGCACATACCTGGTCAACGCAAATAAGGTTATCTGCTGTGAAAGGTAACTTCTCAGAGCAGTGGCACCCTCCCAACCTGCTAATGAAAGAGGAATCATGTGCATTACCTTCAAAATGACCCCACTGCTCAATAAGAACAAAGCCAGTGTCTTACAGAAAGAAAGGAATGCCTAAGACAGCATGAGAGTTAGAAGCTAACACCTATACTCGTTACCTAATCAGAAAGAGATGTTTATGGGTTGAAGTCAGCAGATAAAAGACTGCCAAGGCAGCATTCCAGCAGCTGATGGAAAGGATCAGGGTTTCAGGTCCAGGGCAGAGATGACATCACACTGAGCTGTGGGTGAAATGATGCACCACCTTGCCAGTTACTCATTCTGAACAGAAGCGGAACCAAGGCTAAGAAAGCGGGTGAACAAGCCAATTAAAGTGCAGCAGACAGGGAGGGTCTAGGAGGGGCTGATGAGTGTGCGGAGGAGTTAAAAGAGTTCTGGCAGCAAGGAAAAGCCCTCTACCCTCTAATGATGGCTCCTGTCTCAGACTCCACCTGAAGCTTGACACAGCAGTGAGCTGATGAAATGAACACAACATGTATCTGGGTTCGGTAACACGAAAGACAAATGAGTTTGGAAGACACACTCCAGAAACAGTGATCATGGGAGCTGGTCTCAGGGGTATTTCCTCAATATTTCTTATTTCTGTCTGTACTTCAGGTGTTTGGAGTTAAAGCAAGCAGGTACTATTTTCTCCTAGAATTTGATTCTTACACTTTCAGTATTTTCTGATGATGGACACATTTCTGATTCACTCAGAAAGCTGTGTTCTTCGAGGAGTTAATTAGTCTGTACAAAACACATTCTCTCCCATCCCAGGTCCAGGTATTTCATGACTTTTCCAGAAGATCAGGTTGTGAACAGACTGACATCCTGGGTGGCCCAGCACAGGAGCTTCAGAGGAATAGTTCTTAGGTAGCTGCTCATTTTGGAAGCACTGACAGTATAAATTGTGCTTTATTTTTATTAGCAATCACATTCAAACTCAGGACAGCCTCATGTCAGGCTGATATGCCCACTATACTCTTCAAACAGGGACTCGGCTCCCCACTTAGATAAAATCCATCTTGTGTTAGTTAGGGTTTTTTTTTGTTAATTACACTTGTTTTTTTTTTTTTTTAGTTTATAAATTACACAATTCCAGTATTACACACTCAGACCCCTCTTCTGTCTTCATGTTGGACTTCATCTACGATACCCCAGAAGAACAGACATACCGGCTGTTCTTGTGTCATTTCCTCCAGCAAATGAAAGGAATTCAATAATCTCTCCAGGCCACCCATTTTCAGTGTTTGATAGCCTTGGAAAGTTTCTCTTTTGCCCTGAAGACTTGCTTCACTCTCGTGTCACCATGTTTTTATAGCAACTCCATGGAGACGTGCTGAGTTCGCATAAACACCACACCTTACACAATCTGTCACTCACAGAGTATTCATTCCAGTTCAAACTGGCTTGACCACAGGGAACCCTTGAAACACTCTACCAAGAGTGTTCACACAGAAACAGACAGTAGACAGATCTCCAGCAGGCAAGGCCTTGACAATGACCAGGCAGCGTGGAAACCACACAAATGGAGCTGTGGGCCAGTGTGGCCTTCCTTTAGTAATAGGTGTAAACACGGTATCAGGTCAGTGATAAAGGCAGACTGTGGTGATGTGCTCGTCTTCATGCTTGCCGCATAAGAACATGGCCTGAGGGGCACCTGAATCAAACAAGGATTAAACCCAAAGGACTGAAACTAAACAATAGAGCCTGACAAAGCCTGAAAAACTAAGTGTGGGGCTGTCAAGGAAGGAAAGATAGCAACAGGGAAAAATAAAGCAATAAAGAGTCTATCAGATAACAGTATAGAGCTCAGAGTTATAGAAAATGTACGGGCAGCTAATGATCACCCAAAGTGATGTAGAACTGTAACAGTAAGGTTCCTGAGAGATTCTCCTTAGAAAAATACTGTCTGTACCATCAGAGTTTTATTTGATAAATGTCATTCATGCTACTCCTAACAGACCATTTGTACCATATTATTTATGGTCATTTATGAAAGCTTATCTTTCTTCTTTCTGAGTTCCAACGTGGCACTAATGATGTTTCAGTTTGCTCAGAGGTCACCTGTCTCTGCTGATTACCTATGATGCCCAGTGGGTAACAAGACACAATAAAAACACTGTGTCAAGCTTGCCAGTGTGAGTCTGGCTGCAAGACTGAGTAACAACACATTTATAAACTTAATTTCCTCAGAACGTGCTTTCCAAACTTCCCAAGTAAGGCTGCTCTTCACTGTCCACCCAAAAAGACTGAAAACAAACAAACAAACAAACAAACAAGTTCTAGTAACTAGTGGTGGCTTTGAAAGTGTGGCCTGCGAGCTTGGGGACAGCTTTGGAAAGGACTAAGCTAAGATTTTTGGTCATCACAGAGTTCACAGAAGATAACTGCCTTCTTAATCCAGCAAGGTGTCACTCCCCTCGGTCCTAGGCTTACTTGAACTCAATTTTGTGAAGTTCTCTTGGCAAGGAAGGCTACACTTGTTTTTATGTCTTTAAGAGAACATGAATTATAAATTCATCAGAGACCTACTAGAAGATTCTGCCGTCAGAATACTGCAAGGATGACGTTCAAGCACAACACTCAGAGGATGCCGTGTCTCCGCTCTACCACTCACAAAGGAATGTGTTTTCCCCCATCCAAGCTCCTCATTCAGGGGTCACATGATAAGAAATGCTCATCCTTCTGATGGTGATGGGTTATTAAAAGTCAAGCCTACTGATGTGGTCACAAATCCTATCTCCAGCTGGTCTTCTGAGAGCTTCACCCACTTGCAGGTCTCAAGTTCAATTTCATCTGAGTCAACGCCTAGAGTCATGAGGATCAACTGCAGGCAATAAACACGTCTACAAGGTAATGGGAAAGAAGTGTCGCTCATGGCCCTGGGTACGGCGGAGTCAAGGAGCTGAGAAGACGTGAAGTGCGGGATGCCGTTTAAAGCCACGATGCTAGTCATCATGTCTGCAAGACTAGCCAGAAGGGGCCTGTCCGCTGGGCCTCCAGGTGCTCCCACGGCTCACGTGGCTACTCACCGATGCTGATCAGGTACCAGGTGAGGGGGCCAGACCCGGGAACGGAAAGGCTGCTGTCCTAGCTGCCGTTGTAGGTCCGGCGGGATCTCAGCTGTAGGGTTGGTCATGGCCAGTGTATGCCTTTTGGACCTATTTGCCAAGTACCTGCAACAAGCAGGAGCACATTTCATAGTAAAAAAGACAGACAGGAATACTCCTCAGCAAGAAGCATTAGAAGTTAATCCAAAGCACTCAGAATGAAGTGGCGCCAGGGCACAGAAAGGGTGCAATGGCCAACAGACTCCTGACTGGATGGAAGTGAGACACGCCCCAGAAGGCCAACAAAAGCTGGCTGCCCACTGAAACGGCTCAGTGCTGGACCTAAGAGCAGCCGTTAAGAGAAGAGAGAAAACAGATGTTGCTCACGAAGTAGATCAATTTTCCTGACTTCATTCCATTCAGGAGAAGAATGTATTTTCTGCTGGTTAACTTTGTTCCTTGGTTTCCCTCCACATTTCCAAAATACAAGTCAGAGGAAATGAGCCCTAAGGACTGTTCCCAGAGATGAGCCAAGAGAGAGATTCAGATGGGCTTTGTGTATGTCTCCTGAGGCCACTGGCCCCCAGGGTTTGAGGCTGACCTCGCTACAAATCATGGAAAAAGATCTTTTTGCACGGGGCTAAGTGAGTTCCGACACCAACCCTTTCCTCAGGCCCCAAGACTGTAACTCCATCGTCAGAGAAGAAAAACTGATGCTGTCCCCAGGGGACCAACATTCTCTAAAGGATGAAGAAATCAAACCACATGAAATGTTTAGAACTGTTTTCTAGGTGAGAAAAAGGCAAGGCAAGAAAAGAGAAGTTTCAAAAGCTGAAGAGCTCACAAGCTGATGACTTCTATTCTGATGGTCTTTTTAGATCCACCACTAACACCGTTAATAGCGCATTGGTCCCCCATGGTCTGGACGGTGACTTCCTTCACCACTGCTGCTCTTCTTGGGCATGAATAAAGGAAGCGTTATTCCTTCTATGACATCAAAAGGGACGGGCATTTTACCCTTTAAATGTTGGTCTTTAAAGAAGAAAGGAGGAGCTGGAGGAAGTAAAATCTAAGACAAAGAAGATAAAATGAAATACTGCTAATTCAAGTAGGAAGGCAGTGAGTTTCCTAATTTCTCTTCATGACTCCAACAGGGCCCATATGCAACTTAATACACCCTGTGATCGGCAACCTATCGAAATAACAACATCAGGAAAGAAAGAAAGTCAACACTATTCTTCTATTGGCTATTCTGTAGAAGGAGCTTGCCCACCTGCTAACACCCCTGTTCTCTCCACTGTTCTTTCCACACAGGACCAGCTTCTTTTTGGACAGTAGCTCTCACGCAGAGCTACTAGCGGGTAGAGAAAGGACACTGACCAGCAACCATCTGATTAAGAGGTCTTGTTTCATCCATTCTTAACTCTTTTGCCCATTTCAGCTAAAACCAGTTAACAGACTAGAGAGTAATTAGTGGTATGTAAACTTGCCAGAGGGTAGGTAAGCCATTAGTGGTTTAATATCCATTTGATAAAAACACCCAAAGTTTCCCCAAGAGCCCATGAAAACCATTTTATTTCAACTTCCCTCAAGGGAAAAAACATATAATCTTGAAGAACACCTGTATTTCTGGGAAAATACATGCTGGATTCTGATCAACCCCCACCCTCCCCCCAAAATAAGAAAATCAACTCCCACAAGGGGTCATGCATGAAGCTGAGGACCACGGCTAATGCAACTGAGGTCAAATGAACAGTACAGCATGCCTGATGGTCACTGCCGTTTTCTGTGAATTAGGCATCTCTGCAAACAATGGATATTTGCATCTGTCCCTGGACCGAATCCCATATTCTTTTTTCAATATCTCTTTGTTGATACAAGGGGATGGCAGAAACACAGCAAACAGTACAAGAGGTATTCATTCTCCTGGAAAGGAAGAGTCCATGCCAGAGGTCCATGGCCAGACTAGCTAGGATCACTGTCATCCCAAATCTCGAATTCCTTTTCAGTAACAGTTCTTGGCAGGTAGGAGCAGGCTTTGTGCCTTGTGAATACTATCAGAGTTGCAATATGAAGGCGGGGGGCAAGGAAGGAAGGAGGGAGGAGAGAAAAAGTTCTTATGGTTATTGCTGTCACTTAGGGGACTTCCAATGGTGCTTACAGAAATGACATTTTCTGGGTAGTCTTCCGTTACTTCCGTGTGGGGAGGAACATGCCATCTGGCTTGAGCAAAGAGACCACACAAATGTTGAAGCTGCACTGGACCACCTCCTTGGGCAGAAGTGACCTTTCGTTGGTCGCAGGGGGAGCCTGCCCAAGGACGCTCTGCAAGCACTGCCAGATGCCACATTACCTCTGCACAGCTTCCTGATCTGGCTCCCCATCCGAGCTCTCCTCGTCCACAGGGGTGACTGCTGGCACTGCCTGAGGAAAGACAGGAAGGAAAAGCTCAAAGCGGCGCTTCTTCCGCAGCAGCTCTTACTCTGGACACTGGGCTCGGGACAGGCCTCTCGGGTACTTTTTTCTAATCTGCAAAGCTTTTCTAGGATCCCTGGGTTATAAAGAACATTCATAGACCTTTCAATTGTCCCACTTTTACCTTGCTCAGTTGATTTTAATTTCTTCCTCTGATTCATCTTCCTTCATTCATTTATTCATCCAATAAATAAGCTGAATGCCCACTATGTTCCAGGATAAAATGTGAATTAGTAAAGTTCTTGCCCCTGTTTAACAGTCCAGTGGAGGACAGAGATAGGCAAACAGACAAAAGGACAAAATAGCATGAACCAGTCATGGGTGTGGGGGAACTGAGCAGGGCATCTTAGAGGACATGGCCCCGAACCTGAGACCTGAAGGACGAGTAGGAACTAGTCTGGCAAAAAAGGAAAGGGGTTGCAAGCATCTAAGGTTTCTAGGCCAAGAGAGAAGAGAAGGCTCACGGGTGTTTGAAGACCTGAGAATATAGTAGGAGTTTGTTTACCTGGAATGACTAGAAACTGATTTGTTGTTTCATGTTAAAGTTTCTTCCAGACTTTAGATGTCCTTAACACCAGAAAAGCATACTGGTTTTCTAAAAGTCCACTGCAGCACATAACATATAACTGTGAAGTTACAATTCAATGCTTTAAAATCACGGTCACCCACCAAAACATGTATGTGAAATGAGGACCACCGCAATATTCATGCATTACGGTGACTCTTCCTGTCTGCCTGTGGGCTGGGACACGGTATAGCCCTGACAGCTACTCACAGCCTGGGGCTCCCGGAACCACCATGCCTCAAGCACTGAAGCAAAAATCACACTTCCGTTATTACAAAAGAGCATTTTTTAATGGACGGTAATTGTAAAACAAAACAAAGTTTTGGGATAATTCCATTGTCTGAATGTTTCTAGGGTTTCCAGAATGCTGATTATGGTTCTGTGAGGCTGGAGGGAACAGGGTTATGCAGGAAGTGGCTCTAGACAAGGCGGGAGAGGAGCCCTGTGGCCAGTTATAAATGGCCTTGAATACCACATGAAGAACTTTATTTTGAGGAAAGGCAGTGGTGAATCACTAAAGATTTTAAGTGGGGACATGATGTTACAAGATTTATATTTTAGAAAGCTGGCCTGCTTTAGTTGCAGCGTGAAAATGTCGGGTGACAAGGATGAGGAGACAAGCCTGGACCAGGAAGCCCGTTTGGCAGCCATTGTGTTAATCCAGGCAGAGGATGACAGTAGCCTGAGTGAGGAAAAAGGCAGTGGAGATGGGACAGAAGATACTGACTTTACAGGCATGGCGTAACTGTTTTGATGTGGGGAGGAAGGGAGAGGGAAGAATTAAAGAGAAAACCCAATTTCCTAGCTTGTCTAACCAGGGGAGTGATGGTGCCATTCCCTGTCACCCGGAGAGAGACACAGGTTTCACAGCATCAGGACGTGTTCATCTGAGGGCATGCTGAATTAAAATGGTGAGGATGTGCCGAGTAACCAACTAGATCTGTGCAGTTGGTAATCATATAGATAGAAGTGCAGGGCCCAGAAGAGCACTGTGGGCTGAAGAATCTCTCAGTGACAGAAATAGGGAAGTGGACAGGATCACTCAAAGAGTCCGTAAAATGAAATGGAAACAGAACCTCAGACAGAGCTGTGGGTTTCCAGGAAAAAGAAGAAAGGGAACCTGAGAAGGGGAGCTAGGAGGAAAACACAAAAGAATAAGGTAAAGGAAGACCATTTTTTCAAGGAGAAAAATGGTCAGCAGTAACTAATACAGTTGGAAGTCCAAAAAGATAAAGATGAAAAATGTCCACTGGAAGTTTCTTAGTGACTTTGGCAAAAACAGTTACAGTGGACAGAGTAAGTCACTGCACCTCCCATAAAGCTGTTCTGGACTCTTCCAAATCTACATTGACCTGGCCTTTTCCTAAGTGCTTCTGCCATCTACAGGTCCATGGTCTTCACTCCAGCACTTCATCACATTGGTCTTCTATTGTTACTCCAACACTTCACATATGTGGATTGCATCTTCCTATTAGAGTATAAGCTCAATGAGGCCAGGAACTGTAAATATCAATTCTTCCCTTTTCCCAACAGCCATGTTACTGGCACAATGGACCTGCATCAGTCTACAAACTGTTTCATTACTGATCTAAGATAAGGTAGGTAAAATAACAGAGAGTAATATTTATAAACTTTTATAGCAACTTAACGGAGTAATTTTTTCTGTTGAACCAAATAAAATTTAGCCTTGTAGTTCATATGTTTTAAAATTTTATTTTTTTTGATAATAGGGAAAACAAGGTCCTCAAATTAGAGAGACACCTTAAGAAGCACTGCCCTGAAACACCCAGTGGGGGCTGTGGATATAATTAGCACTCAATCTTAATATAGTAGGAGATTTAATGGGTGAATAAATGAATGAAAGAATGAATCCACCTATGGCAGGAAAATAATCAGAAATAAACAGAAACCAGGGGAAGAAAAGAATCTTTGAATGTGACCATCATACTAAAAAACATGGGTTTGAGAGATGCCAACTGCCAGTTTAGAAGCCAAATCATCAAGGGATCCAGGTGGCACCAAAAGTGTGAGGTATGTCAATCAAAGGAGGAAGAGCTGGTGAGAAGGTAAACCTGGAAACCAGTCTAAAAGGCAATTAAGCCCAGAGAAAACTATTAGCTTCCACTGCCCTCTGGCATGGAAATGTGATCTGCAGGAAGGCTGGGTCTGAGGCTATGACTCCCTGACTTGAAGCGGGCAGGGTTGCAGCTGCCCTTTACTCGAGTGTCTACAACAGGCTCCCCAAAGATGAATCCCTCCAGAGGCAGGATGCAGTATGGAAATTATTCAGTTAAGTGAAGAAGCTAACCAAAAATTAAGTTTGGAAAATTCTACTAGCCTGAAAAAAGTGGAAATGACACTGAGCACTGCATGTTGAGGGAAAGAAGAAATTCAGACGTTTAGGTTGGAGAGACCCTGAGTTCCAAAACCTCTTTATCAAAAGCCTTTGAGAAAGCAAGCAGGGCTTCACGCTGCCACTCACTGGTGTCATGGTGACAAGAGGGGAGGGTCCCCGTGGGCGCTTCAGCAGCTGCTGGGCATGGAGTTGAATGTTGGCACCTCCATCTGATGCCCTCCGGCCAAGGGGCCCCATTCCGTTCAGCAGCTGCAGGGTAGGCGGCTGTAACAGGGACTGCTCCTGTAGGAGGAGAGGGAGAGGGACGGTTTGGTGAGGTGGGGGGAAAGGAGGAGAGAAGACAGCAGTACTCCAGTCTACTGAAAGGAAGGGATCCCACGATGGTGACATAGACAAGAGAAAGCATCCTTCTAAGGACACCCTGAAATCCTGAGGATGGTCTCTGATGAGCTCTCTGGGGGCAAGCCCTCTCCCACATCTGGGTACCTTGTATTCCAGCTGCCCGGTTGGCTGCAGATTTTGCATGGGCAACAGGTTGTGCATGAAGTTCATGTTCGGGGCCACTTGCAGGAAGGGAGCCTGCGGGTTGACTCCAGGAAAGCCAGGCAGCAGCTTCTGCAGATCTTCCATGACCTCCGTGCTGACAGGAAACAGGACGATGGAGAAGTCTGGTCACAATTCTCCCTCACAACCTACAGCCTCAAACTGAGGACACTGCTAAATTCCATACGGTTTAGTTTATCTTTCTACCTTCCTCCTAAATTTGTATTTCTCTCCAAGGTCCCAGAGCGAGCAGAAGTGTGTGGAGCCAGGTGTGTGGAACCTGGCTCTCTGCCATTTTGCTATCTGTGCCTGGGGGATGACCATTCTGCACTGACCACTCATGTAAAACCAACAGCTCTGCGCCAACAGGAAACACTGGCCCCCATCCAGTTCAGGTCTCTGAGGCCTGGAGGTGAACAGCAAGTAAGGGAGGACACGGGCCGTCCACTCAAACAATGGCTGCCCAAAGTAGCAGCTGATTCACTGGGGAAAGAATGCTGTCAGCACCACCAGGGCTGATGGGCAGATAAGCCGTGGACGGGCAGGGCTGTGGAGCTCTGACAGAGGGCTGTATGGCACACTTTAAAATAAGAGCTCTTTCCACTAACAGGGTGACACAGGATTCCACCCTCCGAAGCTAACATTGTCTTCGGAGCCAGAATGCTCCCCTATTGCCTGTTTCATTGTAGGCTGAGAACGTGAAGCAAGCAAACCAGTAAGCAGGAGAGGCTCTTTTGAAAATGACTCAAAGAAAAAAGAAACCAGCTTTGCTCCAAGCTGAACTCTCAAGAGGACCCTTGCCACAACCTTTTCTTCCCTACTCAGGGGAAGAAATGGCCAGAAAAGTGGTATGGCTATTTTTAATGGTTAGAATCTTCAAGTGTTGAACAAAAACCGAGAGAGCTGGCCTTCAGTCCACTTCTCCAGTGTGCGGGCAGCAGGGGACACAATGAAGGACTGTTTTGGGAAAACACTTTGGGAAACCGGTACTTATTCAGCATATTTTTGGACTTTTGTTCACATAATTTTTTTCACTGAATTTAAATTTTTTTACATCTATAAATTCTATCCTGCTGCTTGTCCTCACTTCTTAGATGAATCTTCCATTAGAATATATGGCAAAAAACATCTCTAAAAGCTCTCAAACACAGATGCATTTTCAGGGGTACTTTTATGTGGCTTAGATCAGAAGACCTCAGTCTTTGCGGGAAAGACATGCTATGCTCTTCACCAAAGTACTGTCACTGCCTGGCACCATGGCGGCTTTCAGCCCACCCTCCACTAGTGACAGCTCTGTGATCCTCAAGTCCAATCAGGTCTGATCTACCAGGGAGCCTGAAGAGGTTAACCACGTGTCTCGGCCACTGAATCAGATCTCACCTGGGAGATAAAATGAAGTAGGGAAATCGTGCCACGGGAGGAACTCAAAGTCAGATGGGAATCTCCTGCCAGACACTCACCGGGGGTCGGCCACTCCCACTGTGTGCCTCCTCATGGATAGATAGCGGACCAGGGCTTCAGGGGAAGGCTCTTCACCCTCGTCACTGTCCACGTTCACCGCCCCGTCCGGCTGAGGTGAGGGAAGCGCGAAAATCAGAAACAAGAGGGAGTGAGAAACAAGAAGGAAGGAAAGGGGACTTCCCAGGTGGCCCAGTGGCTAAAATCTGCCTGCCAGTGCAGGGACACGGGGTTAGACTCCTGGTCCAGGAAGATCTCACGTGCTGCGGGGCAACTCCCGAGCCTGTGCTCTAGAGCCCGTGCTCCGCAACAGAAGCAGCCACCACAACGAGACGCCCGCCCACCGCCATGAAGAGCAGCCCCCACTTGCCGCAACCAGAGAAAGCCCGAGCGGCAACGAAGACCCAGCACAGCCAAAAATAAATGAGGGAATGCATAAATAAGAAAATATATAGAAGAAGCTGTAAGGAAAGGCAACAAGGCTATGGGAAAGAAAGTAGGTTCAGCTGACAGCCACCAGGGGCCGCTACTTGCCTCCACGATTTGATTCTCTGGGTTGATGAGCTGCACCTGGGGGACGCTGATGTTCATAGTGGTACCCGCCTGCTCCGCCTGGAAAGCGGCACACACACGCGCTTTTAAACACCAGAGGAAAATCACAGAGGCTTTCAAAACATTCTTGATGGCTAAAGTCTATGTTTCTACTTCTGAGTTTTTGGTTCCTCTGCTCTTAAAAGCTACAAGGAAGTATTCTTTAGGGAAGACAGCCTCTCTCAATGATTTACTGTTTCTTAAAAAAAAAAAAAGAATTCCCAACTATTGGCGTCTCTTCTGAGTGCTCTGTCAAAGAAAGGTCGAGTTCTTTGCTTGGCCTCTGACAGAGGAAGAGATGGTGGCCAGGAGGTGACGGGTAAGCAAGAGCAGGAACTTTTGTGAGCTGGTGTTAGATAGCGGTGGACAACCACCACCCCTCTCCACGTTACTAGTCCTGAATCTGGTCATTGGAGTTATCACCCACCTGGAGGTTGACTGGCTGGAAGGCCATGGTTCGGGGCATGCCAGGAGGTACTCCAACACGCAGGGTTTTGTGTCTCTTATGCCGGTCACACAGCAGGCTGTAGATTGCACTATAGTGATCATAGGCATCTGATCTTAACGACTACCAAGAGAAAAGGGGAAAGAGCAAAAAACCCTGGTGAAACAGCATGTTCATGACCAAAACTCTTTTAAAAGTAATAGTAGAAGAGTAAAGCGCCTTATTTTCAAGGGGCAGAGGAAGAATGGGAGGAAAACAGGAAGAAGGATACATGGAAAAGATAGGACAGAGGGAGCACAGCTACCTCCCTCTGCTCATTTAGGTATACCTGTAGTGTCCGTTCTTTGTCCAGTCCCATGTCTTCCATGGCTAAGAGGACATCCTCATTTAGAGGGTCCATCTGTCTTTCTTCCTTCAGCTGCTGGCATTCGGCTATTAACTGTAACAAAAAAAGGCAAGCTATCAAACTCCCAATTAACTACGTCAAGATGGCAGATCATATATAATGAACAAGCTGTTCCATGCTCCCTAGCTTGTGATATTTTTGGCCTTAGATGAAGCCTGAGCAAAAAAGCCCTGGGTACTCAGTTAGGAGCAGATAAGGTGGCTAGGCCACAATTTTCCTGAGCTCCTGGGGTACCTGGGATGGCTACGATGATTTAAATAAAGGAACGCTGCAGGAGTTGTTGCACTGTGCACAGTGAGAGACAAGAGGAGGTGAACAATCCCATGGGAAGAGGCTATACTGTCCCAAGACCCGGGAAGGGATCCGGATGTGAGGACATGCAGTCAGGAACTGGTATCACTATTCTGCAACAGCTCAGCCGGTTAAGCTTCCTTCTTGCTGGCTTCACTTGCTTCAGGATTACACAACAGCTTGTATCCAGGCCTGCCCTTCTAGGTCCTGGCCTGGTTACAACCTTATGCAAAAGAGCCTGCAGCAGCCCGAAGAGGCGTTCCCGGGGGCAAATGGAGGCCTGCTCACCCTGTCAAAGTTGGGGTCCGCATCCCCTAGCTTCATCCACTTGTGCTTGCAGATCTGCTCCATGGAGAGGCGCTTGTTGGGGTCCAACACCAGCATGTGGCGGATCAGGTGCTCACATTCTGCAAGAGACACGGAGCCAGCCGTTAGTGCCAGTGAGGGAACAGGGGCAGGGTGAGCAGGTGGATTTCCTAGCTCCTGGCTTCTCATTTGTTTCTCTCACTTCGTGATCCTTACCTCTGCCACGGCTTACTCCAGAAGGGACCAGGCAAAGGCAGGAAAAGGTGGACGAGAGGGAAATTCAACTCTGGGCTGGGGGTGGGGGGAGTGGGGTCCTGGTTAATAGCTTCACTAAAAGTCAGATTTTTAAAAATCTGGGGATAATCCCTGGATTTCATTTACTTATATTTTGTAGGGCCCCATTTACTGCAATTAAGTAAGAGTTTCAGTGTCTGAAGATATTCAGTGCCTTACAAAGTCCCCAAAATACAATCAGCTCCTTCCTCCTTTCTGCATTCTGATGTGCACACTAACGCTTCCAGTGTAGGGTCCCAGGTGTGGGGAGAAGACAGGCATGGAACCTCCCTACCGCACACCCTAATCCTTACTGATAATTTTCTCACATTCGCAGGGGCATACAACTGAGCTCTGAGCTAAAGAGATTCGGATCAGAGAGGTGTTTCTCTGGGAGCTCATGTCGCAGAATACACTGCAAAAAGAAATGATGGCTCCAAAACCAAGATGCCTGTATCCTGATTTCAAAACCACCCTCTATTTCTAAGTGTACTCATCTGTAACTTGAGTGTACTAACGATGATGTGGGGGTAGCACTTGTGATGAAAGTGAACCTAGATACTGATGACGATAAAATAGCAGTATGGAATTCTGCTGAATACTTCACACATATTTTGATCTCATTTAATTCTCACAGCAATCCTAGGAGGAAGAAACAATCATCATTCCCACTTTGGAGACGTTAAAAATTAGGCACAGAGAAGTCAAAAAACTTGTTGAAGACCACTTAATAGGTTAGATTTCAAACCAGACAGTTTCTTTGGTTGGTGCTCTGAATCACACCCCATCTCACCCAGAACCCGAAGGATAAAGTCCGAAGTCCTCTGACCTCACCTCTGGCCACAGGCCCTCGGCTCCCTGAGCTCCAGCGGCACCGGCCTCCTTTCTAGTCTGTGCACGAGCTTATCACGTTCCCACCAACGCCATTTACACTCGCCGTACCCTAGTCAGGACGGCTGCTCCCCAACCCTCACGTGGCTGGCTCCCTGTCATTCAGGAAAGAACTTAAACGTCAACTTTCTTAGAAAGATTTCTCCTGGCCACCTCATCAACCTCAAGGAGGCGTCCAGTCATGCCCTATGACATCACACTGATTTCCTTCACACTGACTTCTTTGTGAAATCACCTTATTTATTTATTGCTTATTGTCTAACCTCCTGCCCTGTGAGGCCTTTTTTATTGCTGTTTTTAGTATCAAACCTGCAATGCCAAAGATGATGATTTTACCTAATAGGAGCTGAATAAATAGCTGCTGAATATATGTGAATAAGTAAACATTTATTGAAACTAATCAAACAAGACTGTATGTGAGCAAATGCTTTTAAAAACTACAGAATTCTCCATAAGATACAAGATTGTCTGTTTCCATTTTACTACAGCTGTCCTGAAAAAAAAAAAAAAAAAACTGACCAGTGATAGTAACAACAGCAATATTAAAGAGACTTTAATAAATGAAAAGACTTTTTACATACAAGGTACTGTGCTCACCAACTTTATTTCATTTAATCTTAACAACCCTATATTAGACACTGTTATCAGCTTCATTTATAAAAGAATAAACAAGTTAACATGATCAACCACTGCTATGTTACAGTGGAGTGAGGACTTGAGAGCTATGCTCTTATCTTATTTTCACGTGGATACAAACCGTGTGATATATTTTCCCTGAATAAATTCAACTCTGAAACCTCACAATTTCGGCACCATTTGGCAAATATCATTCTATGTCACCATCATGAAAGGAATACAAAGAGTAATTAAGACAAATTCCTCAATTTCTAAATTTATTCTAACTTGAAAAAAAAATAAAACAAAGCCTCTATATCAAAATGATTTTATGACCTCGAATAGCCAAAGTAACCTTGAGAAAGAAGAATGGAACTGGAAGAATCAACCTGCCTGACGACTTCAGACTATACTACAAAGCCACAGTCATCAAGACAGTATGGTACTGGCACAAAGACAGAAATATAGATCAATGGAACAGAATAGAAAGCCCAGAGATAAATCCACGAACCTATGGTCACCTTATCTTCGACAAAGGAGGCAAGGATATACAATGGAAAAAAGACAACCTCTTTAACAAGTGGTGCTGGGAAAACTGGTCAACCACCTGTAAAAGAATGAAACTAGAACACTTTCTAACACCATACACAAAAATAAACTCAAAATGGATTAAAGATCTAAATGTAAGACCAGAAACTATAAAACTCCTAGAGGAGAACATAGGCAAAACACTCTCCGACATATAAATCACAGCAGGATCCTCTATGACCCACATCCCAGAATTTTAGAAACAAAAGCAAAAATAAACAAATGGGACCTAATGAAACTTAAAAGCTTTTGCACAACAAAGGAAACTATAAGCAAGGTGAAAAGACAGCCCTCAGATTGGGAGAAAATAATAGCAAACGAAGCAACAGACAAAGGATTAACCTCAAAAATATACAAGCAACTCCTCCAGCTCAACTCCAGAAAAATAAATGACCCAATCAAAAAATGGGCCAAAGAACTAAACAGACATTTCTCCAAGGAAGACATACGGATGGCAAAAAAACACATGAAAAGATGCTCAACATCACTCATTATCAGAGAAATGCAAATCAAAACCACAATGAGGTACCATTACACACCAGTCAGGATGGCTGCTATCCAAAAGTCTACAAGCAATAAATGCTGGAGAGGGTGTGGAGAAAAGGGAACCCTCTTACACTGTTGGTGGGAATGCAAATTAGTACAGCCACTATGGAAAACAGTGTGGAGATTCCTTAAAAAGCTGGAAATAGAACTGCCATATGACCCAGCAATAGGCATACACACTGAGGAAACCAGATCTGAAAGAGACACGTGCACCCCAATGTTCATCGCAGCACTGTTTATAATAGCCAGGACATGGAAGCAACCTAGATGCCCATCAGCAGACGAATGGATGAGGAAGCTGTGGTACATATACACCATGGAATATTACTCAGCCATTAAAAAGAATTCATTTGAATCAGTTCTAATGAGATGGATGAAACTGGAGCCCATTATACAGAGCGAAGTAAGCCAGAAAGATAAAGACCATTACAGTATACTAACACATATATATGGAATTTAGAAAGATGGTAACGATAACCTTATATGCAAAAAAAGAAAAAGAGACTCAGATGTATAGAACAGACTTGTGGACTCTGTGGGAGAAGGCGAGGGTGGGATGTTTCAAGAGAACAGCATTGAAACATGTATATCTAGGGTGAAACAGATCACCAGCCCAGGTTGGATGCATGAGACAAGTGCTCGGGCCTGGTGCACTGGGAAGACCAAGAGGGATGGGGTGGAGAGGGAGGTGGGAGGGGGTACCGGGATGGGGAATACATGTAAATCCATGGCTAATTCATTTCAATGTATGACAAAAACCACTGCAATGTTGTAAAGTAATTAGCCTCCAACTAATAAAAATAAATGGGAAAAATAAATAAATAAATAAATAAAAAACAAAATGATTTTATGGCAGTCATCGATTTGTTCCAGCTTTATGATTAAAAGTATATTCAAATGCAGTATGGTTCTCAAAGTCTGTAGTTCCTATATTCCTATAAAATATATGTCATTTACAGCATTAAGCTTTTATGAAAATTATGTCTCCAGAGTAAGCAAGGCTGGAATCCACAATTGCAGCATCTGTGTGGAAGACAAGTATCATCACCACATACCTTTACGGTCTGCAATTACCTGAGAGGAAAAAAATGTTCTTGATTTAGAAAGCTGCTGAAACTAAAGACCCGGGTGTACGGAGAAGGCCTGATTCCAAAGCTGTGAAATTATCATTCGAACCACTAGATGGCACTCTAACTGTTCTGTTTTCTTTTGGCTTTCACATAGTGTCTAGTGCATTAGTCCTGAATCAGATGACTAATGCTGAATGATGTTCAGTTATAGGCTTGCTTTAAAACATAATTTTAAAGGCATTTTCTTAAAAACAAACAAAATTTAACACCTTTGTAACAAGTCCTGAGTGGAAGATATATCTGGTTCAATTTCAGGATCTTGAAACCTCTTTTCAGTCATCCTTAACTATTAGTTGGTTTCAGATGCCTTGAAAAATCTCCAGAAAAATGCGAACAAGAATTTGTACACAAAATTTTGCATCTACCTTTCAGTCCATTCAAGGAGCCCACAGACCCTGTGTCACAGATTCCCCAGGTCCCAGGCTGAGGGGCCTGTAGACATCTTGTGGCAGTGGCAACAACTGACGGACACAAACTCACATCTGTGTTCCCTACATGCTACCAGCACCCAAAGGAGCAGAAATCTCACACTCTTCACATGCTGCACAGATGGAAAAATATGACAATATGCGGAAAGCCAGGGTATTATTATCAACTCGTGTTTCCTAAGCATCACATATAGCTCAGGAAATAATGTTCAAACTAGACTGGAAGGCACCGTTCTACATAAAACATGGAAAGAGGGTGAAAGCAGAGAATAAATGCTCTCAGACCTAATAATACAACTAACCACCGGACAGTCCATTAAAGTGAATGGAAAGAAAATAGGGCCCCAGATCAAAGAAGACAAAACATCAACTTGCCCAGATGCCAGAGAAAACTGCATTTTAATGTCAAAAACAGCTCCATCGCTTATTCCTCCTCAAAGGGCAGCCTTTGCTACCGAATGGAGTAGAAGCACTGCAGCAGCGCAGGCGCTCTGCCTGTGCCAGAGGGGGCTGCTTCAGAGCTGCTCTCACCGGCTCCTCGCGAGCTCAGGGCAGCGCCGGCCCCGGGGAAACCCAAGGCCACCAGAAAGGGGACGAGAGGATGCCCAGCTCAGGCCCTGCCCCGCGGTG